GCTTGTGTTTTACTTCTTTTTTTATCAGTACCTGGAGATATTCAAGAAAAGGATTATAAAACTATTTAAAAAATACAAAAACAGACAAAAAGTTTCATTATATTCTACAGTAAGGATGTAAAAATATGTAAAGAGATGACATAAAAATAGTGTAGTCTGGCCAAGTGAGTAGGAATATCTAAAAAATGTGCAAGTGTTTATTTTGCATTTTTTATTTCATCAAATAAAAAAAAGCATATCAGTATTCTGCTCTTTATCCTTTCATTTTCAAGATATGCTTGTGCAACCATCAGACATAAAAACATTTTTATTGTTTGATTTATTAAAAAAAGAGAGAATGTGGAGTATCTGGTATTTTAGGATCTCGGTTTTGCATCTTGAATATTGAGGAACTGCCTGAAAGTTGCTTCGGTTTAAATGATGCAGCTGAAAAACCTCCACTGCAGAAAACGTCCATTTTAAGTTTGTAACAATATTCGCTCTTTTCCAATCAGACGGGTTTCCAGAAGGCAGAAGGAGTCAGGTATTGGTGCTGGTTGAATTTGAGGCCGACCTGTGAAAAACCTCCAGCCTGCGGAGGGAAGTGAGCTGGAAGCGGGTTTAGCGTCCAGACGGTTTCAACATCCCTAAACGGTGAAGCTCATCCCCTGGATCACAGGACGGATTATTTGCGTCGCATTTACACCCACCAGGCTGCTTTTGTTTTGGGCCGTTGCTGTAGAAACAGCTGGCGGCTGACATCTTTCCATGTCGACAACAAAAGCACCGCGGTGCCGCCGCGTGACATCCTGGTTGCCGTGGCACCAAATTGGGTCACAAACTCAAAGAACCGACAGAACGCCTCGACTTGGGCCGGCGGTTACCATGGGTACGGACAGCAGGCCGGCAGAGAGACGTTACTCAGATTTATCATCTGATAACAACAACAATCCTGCTGTTATTGTTTTGAATACAATGAAACAGTTTCTGGTAGAGCTGGGGATACATTGATTTGATTGGTTTTTCAAATTTTTGGTTTTTGAAGATTTAATTTTTGGAAAATCTGCATTTTTTCCCACTTCTTCAGAGTGATGTCAGTAAGACCAGAGCAGCCATCTTGTTCGACAAGCATTTGTTACACCTTATGTTTATTTACACTTTGAATTCAGGCCAACTATGACTAAATATAACACTCAGACTAAGTATTTTTGTTTGTAATAATGTTACAAGAATACAGCCACCCAGCATACACACCTCCTCTGTCAAGGTGTGTATTATGTCTTTTGTTTTATTTTGACGTTTTTATATGATGTCTGCTCAGCACTTTGGTCAGTTTTGCTATTTTAAAAATAACTATAAATAAAGTTGGTTTGGTTGGTCATAGTAAAATGAGAATAAAGTCATAATTTTAGCAAAAAGAATCAGAAAAAAGCTCTTTCCCTGATTAAGAACTTTTTTTTCTCATAATTTTAAGATTTAAGTTTTTATTCTGCTGATATCGGGTATATTCTTGTAACTAAACAATAATTCTCGCAGCCTGGCTCAAATACAGACACTGTATGTTTTTGTGTTTTTATGATGTAAAGCCCTTTGAACTTCCCTGCTGATTAAATGTGCTACACAAATAAACTGGATTGATTGAAATGTCTCAAACTCAATATTTGAGACTAAAAACAGGAATCTAAGATGACGAAGTCAGTAAAGCAGACGCTGTGACGATGCATTTTTGGTGATTTTATTCAAAGAGTTTTAAAGGAGGCAACTAACTGGCTCCAGACTAATAATTACAAGATTAAGAAACGGTTCAGAAAGAGGAGTTTGGCTTAAACGTTTTCCCTCGACGTGAAGCAATAAATCACAAAATGCAGAAACATTGCAGGCGGCTCAATTGGAGGCCTGTATTACTAAACAGAGCAGGGTGTTATTCTGTTTCGCCGTATGCCAACAAATCCAATGTGGCAACCGACCAATTGCTGTAACAAGTTATATCTGTGCAGCAACGCTCAAACAGTCGCGTGTGCAACGCTTCCTAAGAAATAGAGCGTGGGTTACTTCATAAAGGCTTTTTTAACACTCCAGACTCAGATATTTTAATTTCTCTGTGATTTGTTGATGTCATTTTTTATGCCCAAGTTAAAACACTTAGTATGTGGGTTTATGCAATGTTTTCTCATTGTTTGGATGCTACAAAGAAAGACAAAACTATTTGTAAAAGAATTTGGACTCAAAGATATCAAATGAAAAGGAGAGGTGAGCAAAAGCCAAAACAAAACGAGAATTCAGGAACCAACTCTTCTTGCTTGTAGCAACTCTGTTTTACATACACAAAGGCCTTTATAAAAGTAAAAGACATTTTAATTTAGGGTTCAATTTGCATATTGCTTGTTTTACTTCATCTGAAACAAATTTGTAAAAATATGTAGGAGTGCATGAATGTAAAAAATCACAAAAACGACTAAAATGACAAACTCAGTTCTTGATGGACAAGAACGTAACATAATTTAATCAATTATCTAAAAAATGTTTTTCAGATAAAAATGTTTGCCAGGAGAAAAGTGTGTCTGTTGTTTTTGTTTTTGTTTTCATTCGTATGCAAATTTTGATGTTATGAAATGCTTGTTAGGAGTGATGTAGTTAGATGGTGAAGGATAAGCAGGCGTCGATGATTTGCCAAAACAAGATCCTGATGTCATCCGTGAGACTAATTCTGGACAGAAACGTTCAAAATCCGTTTGATTTTGCTCCATTTCCTTCACCTTCACAAAAATAATATGCAGAAGCAACGTGTTTTACCTGTGTATCCACATTTTAAATTAAAATAAATACAGATGATGAGGACAGTCTGATACAGTCTTTGTGATATGAACTCTAAGAAATAGCCTTCAACATGGAAGCACGTCTGTAGTTTTTATATATATATATATATATATATATATATATATATATATATATATATATATATATATATATATATATATGTATATATATATATATATATATATATATATATATATATATTTGCAACATTTGTTATATTTTCAGATGCTGCAGTTCACTTTCCCTGCGTTGTCCAAACCGTCTGAAACTCGTTCCCCTCCTCGCCGTTCATTAGGTCTTCTAGGAAAACAACCAGTTTGACTAAAGCCGTCCAGTCAGTGTGAATGGACTCTTCTTGTCCTTTGATCAGCTACTTGAAACCCTCTGAGTGTTCATCTTTGTTTAGATACAAGGTTTTAATAGTGGATGTTTTATTGCTTAATGATAACTATAAATCTATTTGAGGTTTTCTATCATCTGCCTGAACAAAGTGTTCCAAAATCAGCACAGCGATGTTCGCCAAGGGGTTTTGAGGAACAACTTATTACACGATGTTGTGACTCATAGGAGGAAAAATCTCCTCCATTTCACAACTGGCACAGAGATGACCAGACAATGGGTTGACAGGTGTGTATGTGTGTTTGCACTGGTTTAACAGAGGAGCTTTTAGCAGCAGACCAGTTTGGAGGGGATGTGATGCAACAAGGAGTTATTTTTTTCTTCTCTCTTTTTACGGACAGGCACTGCCCATTGACGGTAAAACGAGGAAAGAGGGACGGACTGAACTGAGAAGAGGAGGTCATCCTGTGTGGGAATTTCCCCCTTCGGCTTGTGAGCCTGGGAGGTTTGGGGGGCCAATGGGACGGCTTGTGGCTGCGCTGGGGGGGGTCATCGAAGAAAGAATGCGCAGAATGTTTCCAAGAACCTCCAGACTGAGTCGAGGAGAACGTGGAGAGGCAGAAATCTGACTCTAAAGAGGGGTTTTAATGATACATGTCATCCGTCTTGTTTCGTTTCGTAGCGGGCCTGGAGCCAAACCACGGCTTCTTGCAGCTATTGTTGAGCAGGATAACAATGTGTTTTTTAAATGTGGGTGTAGCATTCTTCTAGTGGTGATGTGTTGGAAAAGGGAGGATGTTGCACAACCCATAACAGCTAACCAGATCATCATTGACTGTGTTGAAACATCCAAAGTGTAATCTCCCACTGCACAAACAGCAAAACACTGCTTTTCCAGCACCACTTCTCGCTGCTACGATCATAAATTTTCACTCCCCACAGTTACTTGTTTAAATCACGTCACACTCCTCGTCTTTATCTGCTCTGCCTGGGGTTTTGCTTGCTTTTAGATACGATTCAGAGTAAAACTCAGGCTGAGGAGCCTGGTAAATTCCACCATGAAGCAGCTTATCTGCTGCCTCCTCTCCTGCTTTAAAACTCTTAGCGTCTCGCCTGTCGGCTGTTCAGGTGTGACCTCACCAGGTACTGCGATCAGGTTAGTTGCTGATTAATTTCCACGCGACCTTGAACCCCTCTGTAGGCCAGTGGACCCAGCAGACTATTGACAGAGCTATGTGCTAAAGATAAAACGACCATTTCTGTGCTGCGTGCAGTGACCGAGTCTTTTCTTCTTTTTTTTTTTGTTTGCTTTTTGCTGCTCTCAGCAGTATCATTTCAGTATAAATTGGCTGAATTTATTTTGGGATCAGTGCACTTTATGTCAAATCGTTAAGTCAAACAGAAACTTGGCAGTTAGTCTTTTTTTTTTTTACACAAATGAATTGTTCTAAATGCATTATGCACATAAAACACACGTGCATAATGCAGAATGAGACGCACTTATTTATTATTAAAGTGTGAATTTTTTTGTTCTTATGTTGCACACTTTCTCGGTGTGAGAGAAGCTGCAGAAACGGTTCTTTTATTCTGTGCAACATGCCATTAAATCTGCATTTATTGTCCATTGATATCCAGTTGGAAATGAACTGGATCTGGCATGTAATTTTTTTTTTTTTTTTTTTGGACCGTCTCTATGTAAATAAACTGAATTTTAAAACTGCACATTTTTCTTGCGGTTGAGCTGCTTGTGTCACTGCAATATGTTGTAACCTGGAACGTGCTGTTACACAGTCCATGATGAAATTTAGGCAAGCATATAAAGCGTTGTGCAAAGAGAAAAAAAATAAGAAAAATGAGAGAAAATCTTTAAACAAAGTATAAATCTGTTTAATTCAATAAAATATCAAGTACAATTAAAGCATTTCACCTTTTAATATTAAATAATTATACTTATTTCATTCATTGCCAATACTATTACAAAGAGTTGCATCATTTCACTGCAGCACAACTCTTCCCCTGACAGCCATTGCTGCAGACACAGTGTACACAAAATGTAGAAATTCACCAGGAATGGATGTAAAACCTGCACAGAAATACTGCATACACCAAAAAAAAAAAAAAAAAAAAAAAAAAAAAAAAAAAAAATTACATCTGAGAATAAAGCTAAGGTGACATGTTTAGGAAGAGTCGTGGATGGCCACCCCATGCGCCCACTCTGTTCAGTCTCATTCAAAGCGTCCTTGTAAACCAGTGGGTGCAGTAGTACCCTGTATTTCTGTAAAGTCCACCAGGTGAGCGGCTCAGCACTGTCCAGTGGCGGACAGCAGGTTGCGCAGGGTGGCCAGCTCTCTGGACAGCTGCTCCACTCGCTTCTGTAGACGGTCGTTCTCCACCGCCAGCTCCAGCACTTTCTGCTGCGTCTCCAAGTTGCGCATCTTGGCTTTGTCCCTGCTCTTCCTCACGGCGAGGTTGTTCCTCTCCCGCCTCAGCCGGTACTCCTCGCTGTCCTTATCCAGGCGCTTCTTCGACTTCCCGCTGGACGACTTGCCGCCGTGCGACGGCGACCTGCCGTTACCTGACGGCGCAGGTGTGCCGGGCGGGCTGGAGCAGTTCGACGACGCGGTGGAAATGTTCCCCAGACTCCCACTCGTGGACTGGTAGTGCAGATAGGACCTCATGTCGAAGCCAGACGAGCCGTTTTCCATTTTCGTGTCTTCCTGGCTGTCTTCTCGGTCCGCGGGAGCAGCGGCGGCGGCTCGGTAGCGGCTCAACTCCGGGCTCAACACGCTGTCCACCCGGGTCTCCTGCAGCTCCGCGTAGTTCAGTCCGTACGACTCCCGCAGGTTCTCGCACTGACTCGCCTCCAGCTCGTTCAGCAGAGAGTAGTTCTTGTAGTTTTGCAGAGCCGTGACTCTTTTGATCTTGCTCTCTCCGAGGAAGTCTGAGAAAGCGTCGCCCGGCTGTGTCTGCGGCGGGCAGTGCAGGGCTGAGTCCAGGTACGCGCTGAAGTCGATGGCTCTCTCCCGCTCCTCCACGCCCAGCTCCGTCATCGAGTCGCCGAGCCTCCAGTACGCGCCGCCGCCGATGGGAGCGATGATTCCGTCTCTGCCGTGGATCGCGAAGCCGCCCTCCTCGTACAAGCCGGCCACTTCCATGGATGTCAACACCCGCCGGACTGCAGGAGCGCGCAGGGCTGAGGTGAGGCGCCCTGACCGGAGTTGGGAAATGTGTCGGGAATGCGCCGCGTTTAAATCCCACTCTGCCCCTGCCTGTGGAAACATGCAAGTAGTAAGTTTTTTGCGGAGCCTCTCACATTGACAGGTCTTCCTGTCTCAGGGGTGTTTTGTATTTAGAGCAGCCGAGGTGGGCGTGGCCTCGGGCAGGTGACGCAAAGCCCCGAACCAACCGAACAACCTGTACCACTTCTTCAGGTTATTTCCCGCACATAATAAATGAGCCTCACTTGCACCGGAACACTGTAAAGACACACAGTTTGGGCATCGAAATAATGTAGAATATGACCAAAGTGTTAATTCAGAAAGTGAAACTCCTATTTTACACACATCAGACACAACCAAGTCAATTTTTATCAATATAATGAAGCTTTAACAAAAACTACTGGTGTATGTTGGTGAACAAACTTTCATTCATTCACTGAAGTTAATCACGAAGGGAAGAGAATCCAGAAATCTAACTCAACAGTAGCGATACTTCATAGTAAAATTACTCAAAATGTACATTGTTGTGAAAATACTCTTAAAAGTGAATATTTTCACAAAAGTTACTCAAGTAAATGCAACTATTAAGTACCAAACTGTTTATAGTAGGCCATATCTTGGTCTCAAAGTGCTGGATTGCTTATATGTGCGCAGATATACGTTATACGCTTTACACAGTTTTAGCGTGCATTTTAAAAATAACATTCAGAAGATGTGGTGGTTTTTATTTGGCAGTGTAGAAAATCCTGTGCTGCTACTGATCCACTGTGTTTATTCAAAGGCACAGATTTTTAATACAGAAATGCAAGATGACTTAAACATACGGTGTGTCCATGTTCTGCAAAAAGTATGTGCATGATAACGGGTTAAAGCTAGCTTTATATGAATTAATGCGGTAACGATAAAGTCGCATTCTCTGCTTCAGCAGCTCATCTGTGTTTTTGGATCTGGTGTTTACAGTTTCTACCTCTGTTTCATGCAGTTTTTTCTTCCACTAAACCTTATGTTTTGGATGCAGCACTCTAAACAGTCAGTTTTTGGTTTACATTGCAAAAACACAAAATCTTACCAAGTATTTTTGTTCCTGTTTGTAGTGCGAATATCGTAGCTCGCTTGAAATGAAACAAAACTTTTCAGTGTCTAAGTAAATAAATCCTTAACATTGATAAAAAAGTCTTAGATCCAATAGCCTATTACTTTTTCATCAAAATTAAGGAGTTATTGACTTAAAATCCTATATTGTGCTGAAAGGTCATCCATAAGTCAGTTTTATCTTATTTCAAGAGTGCTGAGATATTTGCACTAGAAACTGAACCAGAAATACTTGGCAAGACTTTGTTTTTGCAGCGTAAGCCGCCTCGCACATTATGTAAATAGCTGCGAAACTGTTAATTCATCGCTCTTCCCCATGATGGTGCAGATTCTACACAATTTCATACCCAAAAAAAAAAACGTTTGTTAGTTTGTAACATTTAAGTAATATTTTTTAGAATGTCATTGTTTAACCCTTAAAAATAGTAAGTGAGTCCATCATTTTTAGGCTAAATATGTGAAAAAAGCGATTATAAAAAGAAGCATGAACTGTATTTTCCTCTCAGTAATAGAAATGTGCATCAGTGTGGATATTGCCGTACTTCGACTTTTTAATTTGCTCATTTAGTATTAAAATTTAATTTGTGGAAGTAAAAATTTAAGCCGAGTCCAAAACCACAGCTATGTTTCCTGCATGCTCTGTGGTTTCCAGCCTCATTTGGGTCAAGCGGCAAAGTCACAGCAAGCACACAAAAAATTTAAAAAATGGAGAAATGTTACAATATTTAACTAATTTATTCTAAAATGAAACTGAAATGCAAAACTGAAATCATAAGAGCAACACCAACTACCTCATTTTGTCTGGCAATAAGCGTCTCATTCTCAACCACGCGTCCACTGACGCCCCCTGTAGGCCAATAAAGACCCAAACAACAACAACAAAAAGAAAAACGTAGACAGTGATGGAAAAAAAATCCCTTTCTAGTGACAAGCTGTTTACCATTTCTGTTCAGACGTAATGAGGTCGGGACGGTGACACCATCTACACACGGCTCGCTCCCCACAACTTCCACTCGCTGTTTTTGATCTGCAGCGAGTGGAAGAATCTTGATTGGAGGTCAGGGGTCATGCACAAGATGATAAATCTCTAGATCTGTATAAAGGTCAGAGTGGGTGTGATGGGAGCGTCAGATGGTCTGGTTTTGGTCTAACACAATTCAGAGCGTCTCTGTGGCGTATTTATATCCAAAATGTTGAGCTTCGTTTTTACTCCAGACTCAGACAGACAGTGATGTTTTCATTTTAAGTTCTGCTCCCATTTAAAGTCTTTTTCAACCTCAAATTAATTATAATTACTGTTTCCACAATGCATAATAGAATTACGACATATAATTTTACTCATAATTGAAATGCATGCACACGTATTACATCATCAATAAATTATGTACATTATATAATTTAAATTTTGATTTGTTGGTGATGTTATGAGTGATGTCAGTGGTACTAAGAAAATGCACCATGAAAAACACATATGTACAAATATCACAATATAAATAAATCAATCACATGATAAATTACAATGAGCTCAATATTTTACATTTGAATGATTTATTGTTTTTCTGTTTCTACCAAAAACTGGATGAATAAAATCTTCAGTCTGGTGATTTGGTCTCAACTAGCCGATTTTTTGAAGGACAATTTTGTTTCCAGAAACTTCATAATTCATTCGATTTGTTTATTTCGTTTGGATAATTAAAATGTCTGTCAGTTCCAGTGTTATGTGATCAATACAGTTTAAAGTTTATTGATCTTTGATTATGTGTTCTTTCCATTACCAATATATCAATTAAAATGGTCTCAAAGCAACAATATTATTGTTTATCGCAATAAATATTGTCCTTGTTTGTTTCTTTTTCATTTATTAAAGTGGTACAATATGCATTTTTTTCTTTTACATAGCTTGAAACAAAACAATAAGTACCAATAACCGCACTCTGAGAATTTCTTTTATTTAACCACTTAATTTTTTTTTGCACAATATTAAAAACGCATTAAATACAAAGAAACACATTTCTTTTATTGTTTTAGCTAAATAGTCAAATATAGAAATGCTGCCCCCTTGTGGTCTTTTCCTAAACTACAGGAAACGTTTTTTGTACACAACTGTAGAAATTTCTGTTTTTATGAACAAAAATGGACTTTAATTTAAACAAAGCAGTGTTACTCTCCCTTGATGTCTTTACTGAAAAAATAAATGTGTTTATCTTGTTTACTTCCAAATCTGTTGCCATAATAAGATTAAAAAAATGTCAATATTCACTTATCATTTCTGTTAACATGAAAGTTTCTGTCAGATTTAACGAAGCAGTAGGATCCAATGACTGAGAAGGTAAACTCTTCATTTTAACTAATGTTTCTGCCTAACAGGTGGACATTTTAATCACTTCTGTCCCAGTGATGGATCAGTTTCATTTTGAGGCTTTTCTGTTTCTAATTAAATTCATCTACAGCTGCAGGAAGAGTTGCAGCATTTACGGTAACTGGTAAAAATAGAAAAACAGAAATAGCGTCTCAGTGACTCAGTCGTATCCTCAGAAACATTTGTGTAAACATTGTTATTTATTAGTCATGACCTACAAACATGGCTGCAACAGGAAAAAGAAGAGTTTACAAAAAAATAAAATAGTTTGTTTTGGCTCTTGAATAAGTTTTTAGCTTTTTCTTTTTAAAGGCTGAAAAACCTTTGGGTTCTCATAAAACAGATGCATCATTTCAAAGTTATTTTAAAGTGTGATTAATAAAATTTTCATTAAGCTTTTGTAAAATCAGACTTTTCATTCTGCAGATGTGGTTTCTGTGTGTATTTGATTTGTGGAAATTACTCACCATTCCTGATGTTATTATGTTCATCTGATATTCCCTTTATCCTTCTTCCTGAACCTCTCCTCTTTTTCTCCAGTCTCTTAAGAAAAAACAACCACAAAAAGTTCATTAATGTAATTTGAAAATAAGATACTCAAATGAAATGAAAAGCAGAGCTGCACAATATTAGTACAACATGTAGTGGAAATAAAGTTGCACCAAATTAAGATGCAGATAGATTTTGATTTTCTCTTCAGTTTTTGTCTATTTTCTCACTAATCTTAGTGAACTTTAGCAACTTGGCGGCTTAAAATACACATAAAAGACGGCAGTGAAAGTCTGTCAAATAAAACGAATCTAATATTGACATGTAGAATTTGCAGATATCGCGGCAAAAACACATCAGACAACCAAATATTGTGACGTGAACCCAGAATCTTCTTGCTACAGAGCAAGCAACCGTGCCACTGAGGATTATAGGACGATGATGTGATCTGATATGTTGTGTGGCTCTGATTATTGCAGTGTTGTGATAAAAATAAAATAATCACTGGGGCAGCTGCAGAGTTCTGACCAAAAAGAGAAAAATGTGTCAAATCCCAGAAGCCCTTAAATCACTCCTGTTTGTAAAATGATAGAAATCTTGTTCGTCTGCAAAGGAATAAATGGTTGTGGCTGCGAAAGCTTCTCAGAGTATTCAGATCCTTCAGCTCAACAGAAATCTGGTCATTAAATGTTTCCAAATTCAGGCCTCAAGGTCTGATGTTCCACAACTTTGAGATGTGTTTGTGCTTCAGGACACCCGAGTCAACTGATCACATCATTAGCAGGAGTCTGGAGAACTGTACTGCATATGGAGAGCGAGAATAATTTAGCTATTTGATTCATGTTGAACTAGGGACACACCTAAAAGTTGCAGAACATCGGCCGTCGAGGCTTAGAGCTGAAGAAATCCGGTTTAAATGCACCTCAGCAAGAGCCAACATGTGTTTATTCCTTGAAAAATAAGAATTGGAAACACAATGTTTTTTACTACACTTCCACTCTAAAAGCAAAAGTTTATTTTATTAGGTTATCTAATTAGTAGTTGTCATACATTCGCAGTTTTTATATCTTATTTTTTCCCAATTCAATTGTCTGTGTAAATTATGCTTTTCAAATAGCACAATAGCATTTATATACTGTAAAAACCACAAAATCTTACCAAATATTTTTTTATATTTTCAGGTGCAAATATCTTAATACACTTAAATTAAGACAAAGCTAATTTCAGCAAGATATAGGAGCTCATTTTAAGTAAATAATTTCTGAATATTGTTAAAAGTACTACTTCCACTGGCATATTATTTCACTTATAATAAGATATTTCCCCATATTATAAGTTTAATAATCTGCCAGTGGAACTACTACTTTTAAAAATCAATATTAAAGAATGACTGACTTTTAAAACCCGCCAATATGTTGCTGAAAAGTTACCTGTAGGTTAATTTTGTCTTATTTGCGGAGGCAATGCATTCATTTCACCAACCTGAGCTGTAAAGATGAAAAATCGTGACTCTTCTTAAGTTTTAAACGGCGGCTTGCGTCCAACAATATACTTAACTCCATCTAATTTTGTGTCATTTTGCTTTTATTACTCGAACTAATTTGATGAAAAACAGCTGGCATTTTTTAAATTGGCCATGGAAGTACAAATACGAGGGGTAACGAATGTCGTTGCAACACCAGTTCCGTCCGTTTGAAACGCGCCATGCGCTCACAGCGCCATCTGCTGGCGAGTTTCACATCTACAGCTGAGGAAACAGCCCGGGTGGGGCCAGGAAATGAAATACTCGCAATACGTCTCCCTATTGGCTGCTCTCCAGTTATGGAAACAATTTCTCGCGCTGCCATTGGCTGCTGCACTCATCGACTTGTGTCTGATTGGTTGAAAACATTGCCATGTCCGTCGGATGAGACGTTCACGATTCCTTTGGTTCCCGGTGCTGCGTGTGGAAGGACCGAAAGGGGCCGGGCCCACAGAGGAAAGAAATGGCGAGTATGGTCACCGAGAACGGGTGTGGAGTGGCAGCGGAGACCGCACAGCCTCCGGGTCCGGGTCGGGGCGCGGTCCGATGGGGCTCACAGCACGCCGGCGCCCGAGAACTGGCCAGTCTGTACTCGCCAGGTGAGTCGAGCGTCGTTTGTGGGTTTGGTGTTGAAGAAGAAGAAGAAGAAGAGGGTGTGATATGTAATGACTGGCGACCCAGTTAGTCAACAACAAACAAACTCCGATTAAAATCTAACAAATTATTGCGCGAGCGACAACAGAAATGCCTTTGATGACCGGAACCAGTCGGTGCAGCTCGTGCCTCTGTGTTTTGTCCAAGTAACAAAGCTTTTGTTACACAATAGGAATCATGTGAGACTGGTTAAATTTGTGTGGAGTTTGTGTGCAGAGTTTCTCCAGCAGGGTTGACCTAAAAACATCTTTACTATGTCAGGATTCCTCTCATTACTGTAAAGGTTGGACTTGATTGACAAGGTAAATCCTCCACAACCTTTGTGCAAATGTAATGGGTTGTGCTCTGTTCAGATCAGCCAGCATATGACTAATTTGGTTGTGTGCTGTAAGCAGACCTTTTCCTTCCTGTGTCCTTTTTAAGATAATTTTATTTACATTGTAAACAGGTTAGGGTTTTCTCAGCCCTCGATCTTCTTGATTTGTCTTGTCATGACCAGAAACACGAGTGTTTTTTATCTGGTTATTGTATCAGACTTACAAAATAATTAGTATTCAGCCTTCTTTACTCTGTAGCCCCTAAATGAAATCAATCTCAGCCAGTTACCTTCAAAAGTGAAGCTTAATGCAGAGGTAGATTGGGGAACAGATTGGTGACAGAGCAAATATTAGCTGTACACTATATAAATTTTATGGGACAGTGGCAAGAGACAAAAACCATGGTGGGAATTTTAGAGAGGGGGATGACACTGGATCTGTTTAGATCCTTGTAGAAACTCTTGATAAAGGGGCAGCATTACTTATGCTGCCATCATTTATAAATAGTCTGTATATCAAAATTAACTTAAAAGAAATACAAATTTAGTGCCTTGAAATTGGGCTTCTGTCTCTTTAAGAAGCTCCTGCTCTTTCTGACACAACTTTAGCCACTCCATTGATCTGTTTACAAACTTTCTTAGGAGCATTGAGTTGAGAAATAGTTTGTTTGAGCTCTGCAGACTCTCAGATCCCCCAGGTGTTTGCTAATTGCTGCTGCTAATCTGGAGGAGCCGAGTGGGGAAGGCTTGCTCCGTGAGGCGGTAGCTCAGCTTGGAAACTCCAGCTTTGTGTAAAAAAAGGCAGCGCTTGGTGAAAGCAAGCGTTTTGCACAGTTGAATGGTTGCCACGGGTGATTAAAAAGATTTCTCAAACATGCATGAAAAATCAAAGCAAAACTTCAGGTATCTTTCTGATAAAGGAATAACATTATGAGGAAAAGCTAAAAATGTTATAATTTTTTATTAATTTTTTTACATATCTTCCCTTTAAAAGACTAAACGTACGACCAGATCCACAGTGGGCTGGTTTAGATCAGTGTTGCCGTCCTTCGTGGTTTCGATGTGTTTTATCTCCAGAACACGAAATGACTGGATTTCCGTTCATCCGCTTTTCATTTCAGGTAGTAAGACAGGAGACATGCAGGACAAGGGGGGAGAAACCTTGAAGCATATTCAACTTAATCAAATTCGTTTATTTAATTGTATGCAGACATGTTGCAAAAAGCACTAAACTGCAGGATAAATTAAATCAAGCTCAATAATATCAATGATATAATATCTTTACACCAAAAACTAAATGACAAACATTTTCAGTCTGGTTCTATGGATGGATTAAAAAAAGGAAACAAGTTATTATCACATAAATTCCAGTGAAATAAAATTTGTTTTCGCCACTTTAAGCAGGAATCTGATAAGTTTAACCTTTGAAAGTTTTATTTTTGGAGGACATGTTGTCACAAGTAGGTCAGTGAATCAGAGATGAACTGGAAACTCTAATCAGGAACATTTCGTTCTTTCTTCATTTTGTTTCTGTGTTTCCTGGCAGGCAAAAGATGTCAAGAATGGATCAGCGTCATCCTCTGCTTCTCTCTCATGGCCTTCAACTTAATTCACCTTCTTGCCAATTTCCACCTGGGACACGTGTGGTACATTCAGCTGGGCATCGGTTAGCTCTGACTCCAGAATCACACGAGGCGTGGATGTTTTCATTGGTTTCTTTTGCTGATCATAACTTCTCCCTCAGTGGCAGGAATCCTCACCGCTGACTTCGCGTCGGGACTCGTACACTGGGGGGCCGACACCTGGGGATCGGTGGATCTACCCATCTTTGGAAAGGTGAGTCCTCAAGGTTTCCACCAGAGCTAAAACAATTAATCGATAATTGGATTAATTGTCAACTAATTTAGTAATGAATTAATCGTTAACTGGTGTGTACAGAATCAAAAAAGAAACTCATTCTCAGATGAATAAAGGAGCCAAAAATGTGCACAAATTTTTGCATTTAATAAAACAAATACTTTTGTCTGTAAATATGTGGCTTCCCTCTTTTATAAAACTAACTTTTCAGCAAGATATAGCAGCTTGTCAATAATTCTTTAATATTTATTAGGAATAGTTCTCTTGTCAGATTATTTCTTTTTAAGTAAGTTCTGGAACAGATGTCTTGAAATAAGACTAAACTTACAAGGAACTCTTCAGCAAGATATGAGATTCTTTTATGTCAATAAATCCATAAATTTTTTTTATTTTTTTTAAACGGTGATAGTTATAACAAGATGTTTTCCCCATGTTATAAGTGAAATAATCTGCCAGAGGAACTCGTACTCTTTTTAAACAATATTAAGAAATGATTGACTTAAACAATAATTAACTTACCTATAAGTTAGTTTTCTAACTGCTCGGTAAGATTTTCTGTTTTCTGTTGAGGTTTTCATTAACTCCCTGAATATTTTCCCTCCTCAAGGCGTTCATTCGCCCGTTCAGAGAGCACCACATCGACCCCACAGCCATCACCCGTCACGACTTCATCGAGACAAACGGTGACAACTGCATGCTGACCATCGTCCCTCTTGCACACATGGCCTTCAACTTTCTCATGCTGTCCCCCGGTGAGTGTTTCTTCCCACAAAAATGACATTTTGTCTGAAAATATTAGCGCAGACAGAACTCAACGGACGGTAAACATGAATCGTCTCGGTTTTTCTGCGACTGCAGCGGAGATTTACCACATCTACCCGTGGTACTGCTACTTGTACGCGCTGGCCATCTTTGTGACGCTCACCAACCAGATCCACAAGTGGTCGCACACGTACTTTGGCCTTCCTGGCTGGGTGGTGTTCCTGCAGGACTGCCACATCATCCTTCCTCGCAAGCACCACCGCATCCATCACGTCTCCCCTCATGAGACGTATTTCTGCATCACCACAGGTTCGTCGCTGCCGCCCGCGTCCCAGAGCGAAGCCTCTGATGAACAAATCAAAATGAAATTACCTGTATTTGTTACCGACATATTTAAATGTAGTGAAACTTTCCACCTGGAGGACGGGGAAAATTAATATTTTGATAACTTTTCAATGTCTTTGAAAAATGGAGATCAGTCAGTTCAGTGTTTGCTGGTGTAAAAGAGGTCAAAGTTGATACAAGAGGGGTTAAAAGTCCTGAATATTTCTTGGTTTGGTGAGAAATTATGTTTGTTATGCAGTTAATTTCACAAAGTTAAAAGAAAGTACGTATTCATACATGATAATCGTTACGAGACAAAAAAGAGAGAATGTGATCAGTTGCATTAAAAACTTAAAGCAGTCAGGAGGAAAAGTGGCAAAACCTAAAACTGCTGCTGTGCAAGTTACTGATCAGGTCGTTGCTAGGTAACCAACAGTTACTCGACACATTGTTGCTAGGTAACCAAAGACAGTCGGTTACTTGATACCACCGTGAAAATAGTGAATAATCAATCAGGCATATTATCTATTGATATTATTCACGTGTCTTTCTCAATACATGTACTCTGGGTTTATTGTGAGGCCTTTTTATTGAGGTATATTTGCTGTTTGAACTATTAAAAATAGGAAGTTATCAGTGTTTTTTGTGGGGCTATGAAGATTTCATGGATGCAGTGAACATAATACTTGGATGATAATCATTAGGTTTTATTCCAAGGCAGTCTGATGGAGCACTAAAAATCTTCTCTTTTTTTTTCTGGTGAAGTTGATTTTCTTTCCGTCTCTCCTCTGTCCAGGTTGGTTAAACTATCCTCTGGAGAGGCTCGGTTTCTGGAGAACCTTGGAGGATCTCATCCAGGGCGTGACAGGAGAGAAACCCAGAGCAGACGACTTAAAATGGGCTAAGAAATTGAAATAACTCTGATGGCTAACTGCATCCTACCTCAGCAACCTCTGGCTCTGCCCAGGCTTCTCGTTGTGTTTTCTTGCCTCACTTAAAAACTGTAGTTCACAGGATGAACGGCTAACCGTATCTGATGCCATAGCTTTAAGTCTTGCACATTTCTTTTTTCCTCTTTCACCAAGCGAGGGCTCTGTTTCTGGGATTTTATTTCATAGCTTTTCTACACGGATACATGATCTAAACTGCAATATGTTATAAGCTTTTTATTTCTAATGCAGGTCATAATTTTTTTAAAGGTTTTTGCAAATAATGTGTCACTTTCCAAAGGAGGTGAGACTATTACTCTGATCTGAACCAGTGCTTTGGAGAATGATCACACACTTGATCAGCAGAGCTTGTATTCACATTTTCACTCGTCGCCGCTTTATTTTCTGTTGAATGAAGAAGCTCTAAAGAATCGAATTCGATATGAACGATGTAGAATCAGTCAGTTGCGTGGGATCTCTCTAGAGGCGTTACCATTGTTAGTTTGTGATCGAATTTGGAGTAATTGTTACATTTGCTCTCTACTTGCACATTTAGGTTTGCACACTTTTTGATAGTTTTATAGGATAAGTGGAAACAAAGTGAGGCACAAATATGTTTTTTGTTTATTTTTTTGGTCAAGAATTATGAAATTCCTATCTTTCTTTCTAAAACAGCCATATTTATTAGTAGCTTAATAAATGGAAGAATCTGTTACAGCGGGAGAACCAGTGAGCTACTAAATAATCAAAATAAGTCTGAAACTGACAGCTGCTCTCTCACTTCCTTATTGATAGCTTTGCCTGTTGAAGTTACTTTATACTCCCAGTTTTAATAGTTGCACTTGCGTTATTAGATTACTTCAAATCTAAGGACTGTGGGATTTTTTTTGCTTTATTTTTTTCCACTTTCAAGCTAAACCAGAGCAAAAAGGGGACATTAGAAATATTATACACAGACTTCAATCTGTGGAAATAAAGATTCATGCTCTGGAGAGGAATACCAAGAACAACCCTGGTTCAGCTCAACGAATAACTCAAAACAATGACCAGCTCAGTGTTAGACAAAGACTTCAGTCAGTAGAAATGAAGATTCAGCGGTTGGACTGGAAATGAAGCAACTCTTTTTCAAAACAAACGGAGAGTTTGCATAAACCTCACTCAGAAACTCTGGGAGCTAAACTGAAAAAATAAATTCTTGCACTTCAAATCCGATGAGAATAATGATCAGCGTGATCAGTTTTGAGCTGAAATATTCCCCCATCATCTAGACTTTAACACCGACTGCACCAAAGAAAAATAAACCTCACCTTCAAACACCAACAAGAGCTGTGAGGCAAGACAAACACATTCAGCCACCAGGAAACTCAATCAATATGTCAAAATTGCTTATTGTCAGAGATAATAAACGGATTTGGTCATTTTTCCAATAATAAGAGAATAAAAATACTCGTTCCCCAAAGTCAGTGTCTGATATAACAGAGAAAATGCTCTCTGACCACTAATGATCTGGACAAACAAAAGTCTATCATTCTTCTGAACGCTACTGGGAAAATAAACTGGAGTCGTTTCTCAGAGGTTCCTTCCCATCAGCTCCATGGGGGATTTGAAATACTCCAGGTTGCTCATGATAAACAAATGGCTGCTAAAAGCCCGTTCTGCTGGCCTTCATTGACAACCACAGGATATTCTGAGACCGTTGTCATCTCTTCGGGCGAGGCAGATAAATAAAGCTACTCACTGCAAACCTCTTTCATTTTATCAACAACGTGATCGCCGCTTCAGAAGAACAGGCTGAAGGACGTTTGATTAGGATGCAACTCGCCACATATCAGGAGCAACTGGAGCCGGAACGACTCCTTCATTAACGACCCAACACACCCGCTCAGAAATGTTTTCTCCTGGATCTGAGATGATTAAATTCACGGATAAATGAACGACCAAGTTCTCAAAAATACAACTTTTCTTAGTGCTCACAAAGCAGACTTCACTTCATCAAACGTAAATCTGATTCTCCAGAGGCAGGCCTGTTACAATAACAACTTTTACTGGTTATTATTCCTCCTCCAGAACGCATCTGGCTTCCCGGCAGTACGAAACAGGACAGTACTGTCCGGATCACCAGAGGAAAACTTAAAAAAACAACAAAAAAACAGAAATACTAAAATCAAACCTCATGAACCTTCTGCCACCAAGTCACTTAAACAGGCTCTGCTAAATATAAGATAGTTAAAAGGACTATTAGTTACTGACTTCATAATGTTGATTTCAATCGTACTAATATAGTTGCAGCAGAAACTAGACCAAAAATACTTGGTAAGATTTTGTGGTTTTGCAGTGCAGTTTTAAGGATGTTTTGTGCTTCTTGTAAATCCATAAGGCTTATGGTGATGACTATTGGTTATTGATAGAAAAGGCTTAAAGTGACACAGTCATTGGTAACAAAGACTCGCTTGACTGAGAACTTTGAACTGAGGATTTGTGGTGAACTGAACCCAAACCACATTCTCTCTTGGCTGTAGGAGCTTTTATTGATTTATTGGGCAAAAATGTTCTCTCCAAGTGCTCTCAGGATTGTAGTTAGAGCCATTCAAATACTGTACTGGGATTTTCTTGTGTGGGGAAAAATAACACTCCATTAGAAGAGTTAAGGATATCTTTTGAAATATTAAAACTAATTGATCTTTGAGTTAAGACAGATTTTGTCGGGTAAAGCAGGCAGTTAACTGACGCAATGTGACAGTGGATCAATACAAATAACTTCTGTCTGTTTGTTATGAACGTTTAATAAGTTTTCTTTTCCGTTTTGGAGGACTGAACGAGCAGCAGTGTATTTACACACCATATGAATATGATAAAACCTTGATTTCTGGAAGTTGATGAGCTAGTCATAATGACTCCTAGGTTTTTAAAATTAATTGCCTTATGCTTCCCTTAAGGATTTACAGTAAATGTTGCCGCCATTGTTGGAGAAAATGGTCTGAGTGACTTTATTTTGCCTGTCATGTGACTCATGTTCTCTGAGTTGGGACCCACATGGACGTCGGTGTTGGTCAGAAGCCCTTGGAGATGAAGCTTTGATATCAGATTAATGCCTTGATGCCTTTTTGTTGTCTTCCTTATGGGAGGCTTATAATGTACATATTAACCTGTATTTATAAATAAACTAACAAACACCAACTGTTTAGTGTGTATTCTTTGCCTTGAAGGTGTCGGATACTTTAACCATACATCTAAAAGTATTAGAATATCAATAAAAGTTTAATTCACCGTCTAATTCAGTAGCATGTGATTTTTTTCTGCAAAGTTGGCCAGTTGAAAAGTTGTTTTTCCAAATTAAAATGCAAATTATTGTATCTTCTCAGCAATAAAACATGCAATATTTTTAATGAAGCAAAGTGGCCATTTTTTTCTCAGTGGACATTTTCCTAACTTTAAAAAAAAAAAATTCAGTTTGTTTTTAACTTTTAAGCTACTCAGCAATAAAAACAAGAACTTTCTTTAAAAAATTATTTTATAAGCCCAGTTTATTTATTAAATGCATGAGTTCTAGTTTTTATTTATTTTTTAAAATCTACTTACCATGAAATGAATTTGCTCCAATTTTCTGAGAAGCTGAATTGTAGACACATAATGTAAATCAGGGCTGTGAAACTCAATTTAATTTTAGGTCACATCATGAAGTATGAATATCCTCAAAGAGCCGGCTGTGGCAGAAATTATTAGCTAAAACTACTGCTTTATATTGAAGCTTTCTCTGCATTCAATGAAAATCTAGAAATGTAATATTTAGCATGTAAGTAATTTGTACAAGCAAAAACTCACTTAATTAAAGTTACACCAGATTTGGATCACAGGCTTTAATTTTGATGCGTTTGATCTAAGTGAACTGAAAAAGGCTTAAAATATTTAACTGTTATGAATGTATGAGTTTTACTTTTCAAATTAAAGTCAAAAGTCAACCATGAAGAGGTAGAAACCAAATTTAAGAGTGTGTTGAATTTTTAAAACGGGGACCTGTAAACAACATTAGTTGTAACTCTGTCTCTGCACAACCTAGAAGTCGAATAACAGACCTGTTAATAATTAAAAACACTGATGTAACACTGGAGAGCAGCAGCTGTTGTTGTTCCTTTCTATTATTTTCTACGTCTCCCATTAACTAATCTGTCAGCTCTTATTCACCTCATATTGATTATATGAATATATAATCAATTAACTTGATGTATTTCAAAATAAAGCACGGACTTTATCTCAGTCGTTTCATTTCCTTGAAAAGATCAAGGATGATCATTTTCATTATGGCCTCTGGGTTTTTATTTCATTTCCTTCCAAGCAGCAAACAATGTCTATTTTTAGGAGGAAGCGAAGAAAAAGCAACGTGCGCGCACCACTGGGCACGTGCGCGCTCCCGCTGCGTAGCGACAAGATGGCGGTCGCCACCGGATCAGGTAAATTATGAAAAAACATCTTTAATCACCCATAGATTGCCTCTTCTAATCCGCTAATGTGTACATCTTCATAGCCAACGATTCTTGAATCGATACTAGCTCTGTAGCTTAAGGTGAAGATGTGTTTTAGAAAAGATAAAAGCGAAATAAAAGCTCAAAAGAATGAATAGGAAGCGATGGCAGCAGCTAAGCTAACCTAAATTTAAAGTTGAAATAACCGATCTTGCAGGATTTGCGAAATAATATCTTCACTGTCAGTTAGTGACTTTATTGTTTCTATAATTTAGCTTCACGATGTGAGCCTCTAAAACCAAATGTCGCCCACTGTCACCGCGTCCTCTCCGCGTACTTATTTGCAACGTTGAAATATGAACGGATGCTGAAAACGGATGTCACGGACCGGGTTCCGCTGAGTGCTGGTGTCGGTGCGTCCGCATTCAGGCGTGTTTACGGTCAGCAGCTCCTGGACCTGCTGCGGTGGTCCGGGCTGTGCGGATGCAGGTGGGCTGTGTTTGTTTGGAGGGCGCAGCTCTGCCTCCGTCTCACTGCAGAGGCCAAGCGACGCAGCAGCAGCAGCAGGACCACAGTAAATCAAAACAACAGCCGCGGTTTGGGGCCAGGAAGACACAGAACAAAAACAGGGCGACATTTCAGCATTTTGGATGATCAAAGAGCCACGTGGAGACTCCAAATGTAGCGGATGAAGCTTAAAGTGTTGCACAAAAGTGCTTTGACACCCTTTTAATAGTCAAATCACTATATTAGTATCAAAGCACTTTTAGTAAAATCTTTCAAAACTCCTCAAGAGTCAGTTTTAGCTTCACTTGGTAAAAGAAATCTCCTATAATCACGTTTTTAATCGGTTCTTCATAAAATAGTCAGCAGATCAGTGTACTGATGTTCAGGCAAGAAGAAAGAGCTGATGAGCTACAAATGATTCACTAAAGGAACGTTCAGTTATTGCATATTAGGCAGTAAAATTTTCATTTTTCTATTTAAAAAAGGAATAGGGTTACATCTTTTAGTGTATTCATAATACTGTATAAAATGTTTAAATGAAAAATATGGAGAATGTGCCAGTTTTTAAAATCTTATTAATCGATTAATTGTCAGAATACTTGATTACCCAATTGAATTGACTTCAACTCAGCCTCTCGTTTAGTGACGTATTTACACCTCGTTTTTTTTCCTCCTCACAAACAGGCGTTAAAGTTCCCCGCAACTTCCGACTTTTGGAGGAGCTGGAAGAGGGTCAGAAGGGCGTGGGAGACGGAACGGTGAGCTGGGGCCTGGAGGACGACGAAGACATGACCCTGACACGGTGGAGAGGCGTGATCCTCGGCCCTCCGAGGGTTAGTGGCGCTGTTTTAACACCTAAAGGCCTCGTAAGCCGTTAAGCAGCAGAGGTTAAAGGTTAATGCAGTGCTGTATGACAGGAAAGGTGGAAGGTTTTAGCTGAACAGGGAGGTTCAGGGAGGAGTAGCTGTGATTAACAGTAGCTTGCCAGAGGTTTTATTCTTAGATCTCTGAGTTTAAACCACATCAGATGTAATCACAGGCCAAAGAAATATCATTTCTAATAAGTAAAATCACCAAAAATGTTATTTTCTAAACTAAGCATGAATTATTTCAATAAAATTGTCAAATTTTATTGTCAGAACAGGATTGTAGATCTAAAACTTCAAATGGTTTTTGTACTTTTTTTTCCTGTTAAATCAAAAGAATCCTGTTTGTTTTATTTTGGCCTCAATTTATTAAAACTGATAAAATATTTCATCTATCACCAGCAATAAAAACAGGATCTAGTTCAGAGTTCATTTAAGAACTACCACTATCAATAGGACAAAAAGGAGTAAATTTCTGCCAAAAAACAAAAAACAAAAAACTTTCTGATTAATCTCAGAAAGTTTCTAAAAAACATCGGATGAATAAAGTCCACAAAAAACAGATATAAATATGTGTTTATAAATACTGTTTCATCTACAGAATAATTGATCACCGCAGTAATGGCTGCAGAGCTGCTGGACAGATTCTTCAGAAGAAGTTTTGTTTATTGTTACTTTACAGTGTTTACATGCTGTTCACTATTTTTAATTGAACCCTAAACATGTTTACTGTTTGTATTTACACATTAAATATGGGTACAAGCTGTATCTTTTCCAGTTTCCAGACTCGGCCTGCTATTTTCTCTGTCTGTTCGCCCGCAGACGAGTTATGAAAACAGGATGTACAACCTGAAGGTTGAATGTGGGCCAGGCTACCCAGACTCTCCGCCATTTGTCAGATTTGTGACCAAGATAAACCTGAATGGCGTGCACACGTCCAACGGCGTGGTATGTAAATCCCCAGAGCTACTAACTATGATGACTGAATGTTATCTTCTGTGATTATTTGTTTTGCATTTGCTTTAGGAGTGGCTGTTTAACACCAGAAGGGACTTTTTTCCCCCATGTCTGTTGTGCATTGATGAGCTTAAAACTGTTTCAGTTTTATGCTTGTAGGAAAAGAACTGAAAGATGGTTTGCCAAAATAAATGTTTATAATTTAAAATTGGATGGTTCTATTATGATTTATAAGCTGATTTTGCCTCATTTTAAAGCTAATACAAACAAATATTGTCATGTTATAGCGACAAACTATAATGTATTATGTGAAAGATCAGCATAAAGTAGAATGTAATCTGAAATTTTAAGAGTGATTGTACATTATTTTTATTTTTTATTTTTTTTTACAAAGACAATCTGAAAAGTGTGGAGTACATCTGTGTTAAATTTCCTGACTCTATATTTTGAAGATCTGCAATTTCGGTGACGAGTTTCTCCTGAAAAAAATAGAATTTTGTCTCATTCTTTGTAAAATAATTCCAGTTCACTCATGTTAGGTGGAAAGTGAGCTGATTGATTGGCCACCGGTCATAATCGGCCGATTTCCAATAAAAAGTGTATGATTGATGATCGCCAATCACGGTCTCTTGTTGCCGATCACCTGAGGTGAGATACAATCACCTGTATCTCACTTCTCAGCCTGTGTGCAGCTGATCTCTTCTTTCCTTCGCACTGCGCAAGCGCAGCAACAAATCCTGTCGTGAAGAACTATGACGCTCTGAGAGAGAACGGGGACGTTTGCGTGTTGCGGTGGAAAATTACCTCGTGGTTGAAGCACGTCACAATGCATCAGATGGCTCAGTTGTTCTTTTGACCGAGTCGCCGCTGTATTGTGCCTGCAAGTGCGTTGCATGTTTACGTGAATTAGGTGAATTTATTACCAGGTCATTTTTAAAATTTTGCCAGATCACATGCTGTCATTTATAATAAAATAAACAGTCGATCCAGGCGATCGGCAGAGATCGGCCTCATCGGTGATCGGTATCAGAATCGGCAGCAAAAAACTTGATTGGAGAATCAATAACTGGAATCCATAGGGGGCCCAGAAGAAAATCTTTGGGAACCACTGGACTAAGCCATTCTTACAAACCAATAAGGTTCTGTTGAAACTCTGGCGCAGAGTCTACAAACACTTTTTAAGTAAATTGGCCGCATTAGATTTTATTTTGGGGTGTTGTAGGAAAGGGGGTTTAATACAAATGCTGTTTGCCAAACCTTTTAGTTAAAAAAAAAAAAAAAAAGCAGTGATCTGAATTGGCCATTGCATAACACTTCAACATAACTTTATGTCATAAAATGTGGCTGTAAAATGTAACAAAACAATAATGTAATAAAACTGCATTATGTAAAAAGTGTTATAAAATCCTTGAACACATTTTGAATTTGTCAACATGTCAGTTAACGAGGAAACTGATTATGAGTCTGAAATGCAGACTAAATGACTGAAAGTTTGGACTTTATTGACCAAAGTTTCAATTTAAATGAGTGTAGAATCTACAACATGATCGTCATTAGAAGAATAATGATCAGAGTTTGTTCATTTATCACATAATGTGCCACATTATCAGCGCAAAATATAATGTCATTACACTGCAAAAACAGAAAACTTTTTCAAGAATTTTTGTCTAGTTTTTAGTGCAAATATTTTAGTACACTTAAAATAATTAAAAAAATAACTTATGATCAGCTTTTCATCAACGCAAAGGCTTCTTTTAAGTCATTCATTCATTAATATTAGTGAAAAAGTATTAGTTCCACTGGCAAATTATTTCACTTACTCTGTTGAAAAAAATCTTGTTACAGGTTAATTAATCTGCCAGTGAAATTATAAATTTTTACAGTCAATATTATGGATTTATTGACTTAAAAAAAGTTACTTGCAAGTTTTGTCTTATTTTAAATGTACTAAAACTAAAACACCAACATTTTTCCAAAGTATTTTTGTGTAATTTCTAATTTGAAATAAGACAAACTCACTTAGAAAACAAATTTTCAGCAAGATACAACTTTGGAAAAAATTTAAAACCACTCAAAATGACCAATTTTTCTCATTTTACTCTTTATAGGAATATGTTTGAGTAAAAATAACATTCTTTTATTCTGTGAACTATTGACATTTCTCTGAACGTCAAAAATCAAAAATTGATTTTTTATCTCATTTACATAAAATGAGAAATGGTCAAAATAACAGTAAAGATGCAGTGTTTTCAAATATTGCAAAGAGAACAAGTTGAATACTTTGAGGTTTTGTGTTTTTGCAGTGCACATATGTGGCAGAAAGATTTAAAAATGGGTTCTGGGGTTTTACTTACTGATGTTTTATTGCATTTTGAACCCTGATATTATTGCGTATCTGGAGCTTCACCTCGTTGCCGTCTGGCTCTCCGCAGGTCGACATGCACGCCGTGACCCCGCTGGCCAAGTGGCAGAACTCCTACAGCATCCGCATGGTGCTGCTGGAACTGCGGCGCCTCATGATGTGCAAGGAGAACATGAAGCTTCCTCAGCCGCCAGAGGGCCAGATGTACTCCAACTGAGCTTCTGCTGCTTCTCCTGTCATGTTCTTCTCTTTCTTCCTTCCTCTGACTTTCTCTCTCTGTTTAGTTTTAATCCCTTAATCCGAACGCCATGCCATGAGACACTCCACCTTCCACCTACAAACATGCACATAAGCAGCAGGAGACGTAAAAGCGCCAGAGCAGAGACATTAAGAGCTACTCAGATTCTCTTCATTATTCGTTTCAGGCCCTGGACTTTCATTAGAAATCATCCAAATACTGTACATCGTACCAATTATTATTATTTTTTCCAGTTATAAATGTTAAAAATGCTGATTGTATAATAACAAACTTATTGAGTGTTTCTCTTTGTGTGTTGCCTTTTGTATCATAGGAAACAGCCACTTTAACATGCATCACCACACTTGGCTAAACGTGGCTTGGAGAAGATGTACATAAGAATCCCATTTTCTTTCTCTCTTTCTTTCTTTTCTTTTTCTTTTTTTACTGCATTCCACGTGGCAATAAGAATGTCTTCTGTGTTCAGATAAATCTAGATGTGTCGCTGTGGGCTTTGCAAAAATGTTTTTGTACAGGTGCTCTCATAAATGCATAATGTTTAGAGTGGTAAACATTGTGTATTTATCTAAAATTATATCCTAAGAGGCATTGTATGCAATTAGACCTGCATTTATATCATGCTTGAAAAGAAAAGTGAAATCAGCTACCTCTTTTGGCCCAACTCGATGTGATGTACTGCATTATTGTGTTTCTCTCTCCATTTTCTTTCATAAATCTCTATTCATGCATCTTTGGTGAAGATAGTTGTGTATTCTGCCACCACACGACACGTTTCATAGATTATTATATTCATAATCTAGAAATAGATAAATTTTTAAAGATAAATGAAAAAGTCAGATTACTTTTAATGTTGCTTTTCCTACTTTTTCATCAGTCTTGGCTGAAAATAAGCAAGAAAATATTCAAAATTGAAGAAAACCAATTTAAAAAAGCACATTAGATGACATATAGATATATCTAAATTAATTAATATTAAAGTTAAACCAATACAGCAGACCTCAGATTAAAGGGATTATTACTTTCATGCAAATTTGACCAAAACTTTCCAGGTAAACAAGTTGAGCAACTGTTATCCAATATTGCTAAGAATGGATTTTATTTTAGGCTTTTAATGGCTCTAGTGACCTTGATTCAATAACAGATTGACAGGAAGAAGAGCAAAGAGAGGAGCAGACATGTATGTCAGACCATTTTAACATAAAATTGACTGAAACTGATTTTTGACCACACATTTGCGATACCTTTAATTACATTCTAACTTATAAAGATGTCAGATTTATAATTAAGTTGTACAGAGGCTTCAATTCAAGATTGCAATGAATTATGATCTCGTTGGTTGTGCAGGAGGCTCTACTAATACTTTTCAAAGATGTAAAATTGTATGATTTTGGTTCTGTTTGCAGCCATTTTCACATTTGAGTGTAATCGTTAATTTGGGGGGAATTTGGATTTAAAGACGCCCTCAAGCAGCTCAAAATAGGCAGAACTGAAATTTCATTATGTAATAAGACATTTCAGTTCATAAGAGTTCTTATTCATATCCTAACATGTTCAAGAAAGCTTAATAAGTCACCTTTAAATTAGCTTCTTTTATTGTGCATAAAGATATGAAATTTCCTGTTCCTCTTCTTTATTGGGAATAATTATTGAAAACCAGTGTGGCAGAAAAATGTAGAACTTGCATCAGTGCTGGTGTTTATCTTTTTAAGGCTCCTTGTTGTTGGGTGTTTAAGTGGAAATGTGTTGGTATCTAAGCATCTTCAGGTCATATCCACTACATTTACTGAAACTAAAGTTAAATTTTCATTCACGATGGTCATAAAACCAGGGAGGAACCAAACGACACATGCAGGTCCACAAACAGATGGGTATAAAAACACAAATCTGGAAAAAATGAAGAGCTAACTGCACTGAACCTGACTGAGAACCTCCTGGTTATTCCTCCAAATGTTCATTTCTGCACTTCCTGAGTTAAAACATTAATATTGTTCTTCCTAAATGAATATCAACTTGTTTTCTTTGCATTGTTTGAGGTCTGAAAGGTACATCTTTTTGTTTTGTCTTATTTTTCATTTTGTGCAAATAAATACGACATATTTGTTTGGAATTTCAGAGAAATGTTGTCAGTAGTTCACAGAATGAAAGAACAATGTTCATTTTACGCAAACATATCCCGATAAAAAGTAAAATCAGAGAAACTGATTATTTTAAGTCTCTTAATTTTTTCCAGATTTGTATACATAAAAACAGAATCAAGAATAACATACTCTCAGAACTTATAAGAATAAAGTCTCGTCATGATTTTATTCTCATATTATTATGACCTAATTCTGTGTTTTCTTGTATTTTGATTTTATTCCCATAATTTTATACTTTTAATTTTCTTCTAATATGGCCTGAAAACTGTCATAGATATTAAATAGTTCAGTCAAGACCAAAGTCAAGACCCAAGAATAACATTAAAGGCCAACTGACATTTTAAAAATACATTTAAGGCTTTTTTAGGATCATACTTTTAGATGAATTTAAGACTCTTTAAGGATGAGCTCACATCCAGCACTGATTCTGATTTAAGTCACATAAATTATATAAAACACTCTAGATATAATCTGAAATGAAGCTGTATAATCTACAGCTTGCTCTGACATTTATTAAGACGGAGGCTCAGAGTTTCTACTGTATCAGCTGATAATATTTTACTCATCATGTTTCATTTATAAATGTTGACAAAATACTGAAGGTGCAATGCTGCAGGTTGCAAATATTAGTTGTGATGGTAGAGATTATGGGGGATATTACTGATTTTAGCTTCTTTCAAGATCATATTTAGGAACATAACTGCAAACTTAAATCAAACTTCATCATAAATATAAAGTGAAAAATGACCCACAATGTTTTTGTTTTTTGTAATCTTTTCACAGAAAAATAATAAAATGGCTAAATGAACAGGGTAAGAATTTTATGTAGATAAAAATTAGAGGAAGTTTTGACTGAAAAACAACAAAAGGCACAAAATTTAAGCTGAATTCAGCAACTTAAAAGAGAACATGTGGAGGAAGTGTGACTTTTTCCTGAGCACATAATGCTGACTGTGACTTTGTGTGATCACATTTTTAACCCAAAAAGCTTCCAGAAAGTGTCTGTCTAGTTAAAATAAAGTCACAACAGCAGCTTTGACGAACATAAACAGAGTTTTAAAGTCACATTTTAAAGATTTAACTTTAATTTATAACTGTCTAAATGTTTATGCTTATTCATATATTTACATCGTTAATTTAGTTAAAAAGGTGAAACTCAGAGATTAATTAAAAAGTGAACAGGTGAAATGAAAATTTGATCTACCTAAAAAAAATGAACTTGTTACTTATTAGAAAAATAACTTATTAAAGTTCAGAGACACTGGTTCGAATCCCAGCTACACAGACTTTGTTTTAGTTTTTCTTCAGTGATAAAAGACATTTATGTGGCTACAGCAAGATTTTGTACCTTAAAATCTCCAGAAATGCCTCAAACTATCACTGGATCCTCATTTTTTAGTTAACCAGATAAAAATTTAAAAAATCTCTTTCACTAGAATCATCTGGCCAAGAAAGGAAGCTGCACACGTCACATTAAAGACAGAAATAATAATAAAAATATGTTCTACAAATATATAAAATATTAACAATTTGACAGTAAAGTGTGAAAAAAAAACAGTGACAAGATTTGGAAAACTCCTGACATCTGTAATTTTTTACATTTATTTTTGTAGGATACTTTAGATCGAAGCATCTGGAAAATATAAAAATAAACTGTTTTCAGATGCTGTTGAACGACTTGACTATTCAGAGCAAAGCAGCTTCTCGCTTCACTCTGGATCGACTCCAACTCCTTTCTCCGGGGAATTGATCTCTAGACGTTATTGATTTCTCACTATCGATGTGATTTCTCTGACCTTCGAGCTTAAAACTGAGCTCAGTTTCTCTTCCTATTGATCTTAACTCACAGGTCAATAAAACATCCTGGTTAAGGCATTCACATCAGACTTTAAATTAATTATATCGTACTAATGACTTAATGACATACATACATGACATTTATTAATGCTTTTAAATACAGTCTGGATGCAACATGTTTAATTTAAATGTCGATAGGAAATGTTTCATACTGTCTTACATTTTCAGTTTTCTAAATAAACGACAACCCAGTAAGAATGTTTTTAAGTGTGTTTAAACATTCACCTGGAGCTGCATTTTTTTACATAACCTGTAGTTTTCCAGTCCTTATAACCTGGTAAAGTTTGACAGGCGTTATGGCTCGAGATGCAGCTTCTACTAAACCGATTTATGGTTTCCTTCCAGGTCTAAACTGCTGATTCTGATTTAATGCGTAAAAACTAGAACAAGTGCAAATGTATTTGTCTAAAATTTAAACAATTACAAGCGACAAACACTGACTGGGAAAGAAAAATGTACGTGAAACTGTGACATGAATAATATGGTATAGTGATATATTTACTGACTGCAAATAAAATAGACAAATTTAGTTGTGATGCATTTAGTGAATTATTTTAGTGATGTTCTCTAAATCACTGTTTAAAAACTAGTTTATTAAATTATTTTTAATTCTGCCCTTGAGACTTCTGTCTTTGGAAGTCGATTAAAATGTCGATTAAAATGTCATCTGGAGTTACAAGACCAACAGCAGTGACGTTTTTATGGGTCGTTTAATTATTGACCTTGCAAAGGTCAATAACATCCAACATGCTGTAGTTCCACAATACGGCCAGTAGGGGGCGGTGAAGGTTATAAGGTATAAGGTTGTGACAGGAAAGTGGGAAATATTCAAAAATCTGCAGTTTAATAGAAGCAAAAAAATATTATTGGAGCAAATACACCTCGATTCATTGTGTAAGTGACCATGAAAAGTAAATAGTTTTTTTGTGTGTGTAATAATTAACTTTTAATGTCTGTTGCAACAGCGATAGCAGTTAGACTTTTTTTGTTTGTTTTATTATCTGTACTGTTTACTTTCTTTTCTTTTGTAATTTATATTTAATTAGTTTGTTTTAATTAACTGAAGAAACTTCGTTACGTGATTTTTTCCTTCTTGTTTTTGCTTTAAATAAGAAATTTTTACTTCTAGACTCGAAGTTTAACTTGTAACTATTGATATTCTAGTTTCTAGAATATATTTATAATCAGTAATATTTTGTTAATATCAAGCTTTAATGTCCTACTGAGACAATTAAGTACAAAAACTCAAGAAAAATATTCTAAAAAAATTGATCTGGTCAGAAAGCAAACAGACATAAATGTCTTTAATATAAAATTTAAAATCTTACTTAGATTTCTGTTTTTGCAGTGGGGATTTGGCTGTTGACTTGCTTTATTTATTAGTTTATAAATTGTGAATTACTTATTTTTATTTCTTATTTAAACTCCTACTAAGAAATAATTGTACTTTTGTTTTTCTTCTGCTTCTTTTTGTTTTGTTTGTATTTCTTCTAATTCATGTAAAGCACTTTGAAATGCCTTATTACCGAAAATGTGCAATATAAATAAATTTACCTTATTTCCAAATGTAAATATTTCAGCAAATATAATGTAAAAAAAAACTAAAAGTCATATTTAAGTGCAAATATTGCTAAATTCTTTGCAAATATTTCAAAATTATCTCCTCAAAATCAATGATTTTGATTGCAAGAAATCACAAAAACAACACAAAACTCTTAAGGAAAAGATGTTCAGTGTTATTTAATTTTAAAAAGTACTTATTGAAAGCAAACATAGCTTCCTAATGAATATTCTGATAGCTTGTTGGTGGGTTTTATTGGTACGTTTTGGCACACTGGCCCTTTAAGGATCTTAACCTGTCCCAAAACGGTTCTGATTTTGACCCAGTTGTGGTTTGACTTCCTTACCAGCAGTGAAGAAAGTGCAGTTTTAGACTCAGCCCCTGGTGTTTACAGGAGCTGCTGCGGACTCTGACCCCCTACGCAGCCGCGCCTTAAGTCCAGCGTGTTTGTGCAGAGACAGCCCACCGCTGACCTCTTTCTCTCCTCGTACAATGACAGATGGTCCAGTGCACCGCTTTGAGGAACTGCAGAAACTTGTAAGTACATTTTAACACATAGCAGTCGTCTGAATGATTGATTTCCTGAACTGGCAGAAAATCAGAGCACAAAGGTTTGCTCTGAAGTTTTTGTTATAGTTTTAAACATTTTAGACAAAAGGAATGTGAAACCAGAGAGACGTGCAGAATGTACTCTACTTAAATCAATAAATTAGCCTGGATATGACACAATTTTCTTCAAAATAAGAGCATCTATTCTATGCTTTTGACTAAAAAACTAATTGTAAAACTCATTAAAATAAGCTGTCAATGTCCTGTCTGAACACTTCAGACTGGATAACAAAAAAAAAAAAAAAAAAAATACAGAAATCTAAAACTTCATTTTTAGATTAAAGTTAAATACTTTTTTTCCTCAGTGGCACTAATCATCTTCCTGTCAGTTCAGTGAGTTGTGTTAACGTAAAGCCTGAACTCCAATAACCAAATGAAGCTTTCAGCTCTATCGTCTTGATGTTTCTGTGTTTCTTCCTGTAGGTATGACTGATCTCTAGTCGGATCCGGCTGAAGCATGGCGCTGCGGGTGCACCTCCTGGCCTGCGCCTTTGGCCTGGGCTCCTGGGTGGCGGTGAACGGCCTGTGGGTGGAGCTTCCCCTCATTGTTAACGTTCTGCCTGAAGGCTGGGACCTCCCCTCGTACCTCGCAGTCATCATCCAGCTGGCAAACCTGGGCCCCCTGCTGGTCACCCTCATGCACAAACTGCGCCCCGGTCATCTCAACGAGCGCACCGTCATTTACTTCGTCCTCTCCATCGGCATCGCCTCCTGCATCCTGCTCGTCTTCTTCTGGGACAAAGTGACGGTTGTGGCGGGGGCGACGCGGAGCACCGCCTTCTTCATCATCACCTTCTTCCTCTCTCTGGTGGACTGCACGTCTTCAGTGACCTTCCTCCCTTTTATGATGCAGCTTCCAGCTAAATACATCACCACCTACTTCATTGGAGAAGGGTTGAGTGGTTTCATCCCCGGTGTCGTTGCTTTGGCGCAAGGCGTCGGCATGGCCAAGTGTGTTAACAGCTCTTCCACGCCAGGAAACCACTCAGACATAGAAGTGTGGTCATTGCAAACACAGTATCTTCCTCCAAACTTCTCCATAAAGGTGTTCTTCTCCTTCCTGGCGGCCATGATGTGCATTAGTTTGGCTGCATTCTTTTGGCTGAACAGCTTGTCTCGGACATACGAGCAGTCTACGGAAAACCTTGTGCCGGACACGGTGCGCTCAGTCAGTTCTGGGCTGGACAACCCAGCAGCAGAAACTGATGGCAAGAAAAGTGAGCAGCATGGAGAAGATAAGAGCAAACCTCTGCTGGCTGAACCACAACAGTCCATTTCCCAGCTGGTCTTCATGTATCTCCTTGTGGTTTGGATAAACGCTCTGACTAATGGGGTGCTGCCATCTGTCCAGACGTACTCCTGCATGTCGTATGGGAATCTTGCCTATCATCTGTCTGCAGCTTTGGCCTCAGTGGCCAATCCAGTGGCCTGCACTATAGCAATGTTCTTCCAGATCAGGTAAAAAAAAATTCTTCACAGAATTTGTCATGAATCTCATGAAACATGAAGCACCGCAAAGCACTGATGCACCAGAAAGTGTGTACAAACATTTTGTCACGTACAAGCCGGCCAAAAAATATTTTTAAAAACCAAAAAATACCATGTTTTTTTTATCTACTCATCCACAAATTATTCATGAATTAATTAAATACATAAAGTAATCTGATTTTTTTGTAGACTCAGGATCATACATTTTTGGGTTTGATCGAAGGAAACTGGAAAGAAAAAACAGAACAATTTGAAAACGTCCCCCACACCCCACTTTAAACACCCCACACCCCACTTTGCTCTGCAGGTAGAGTACCGTATTTTCCGGACTATAAGTTGCAACGGAGTATAAGTCGCATTTTTGAGGGAAATTTATTTGATAAACTCCAACACCAAGAACAGACACGTCATCTTGAAAGGGAATAAAAATAGAATAGAGGCAACAACAGGCTGAATAATTGTTCGGTATGCTAACGTTACATGACAAACAACGACCTGAGAACGTTCCTGGTATGTTAACATAACATATTGAGAGTTATTCAGATAACTATAACATAATTTACATGCTATCAAGTTTACCAAACCATCCGTGTCACTCCAAATCACTAAACACAATGAAATCTTCGTCCTCAGTGTCGCTTGTAAACAACTCCACTAACTCCAAAGGTAGAATAACGCAGGCCTAGAGCGCCCTCTTGCAGTTTAGTGTGAACATAACATGATATGATAAAATTATGTGTTAATTTCCACACATATGTCACTCCAGAGTATAAGTCGCACTCCCGGCCAAACTATGAAAAGAACTGCGACTTATAGTCTGGAAAATACGGTATTTAGAAATGGGGAATAACAAGAGTACCCTTACTGCTTATTCTAGATTTCATAAGAAAAATAGACGTCAAGTGCTATAAATCAACTTCAGTTGATTAACAAACAAAACAAGCCAGCAATGACAAAACTGAAGCTGCCAATCAAAAATGATTCGAACATGGAGAGAAAAATTGTGCAGCAGCAGAAAACATTTACTACTAAATTATTATTTGGAAAAGTTGCCAAAAGAAGTTTCTCCATCAAGGAATTTGCCAACTTGCAACTGGTGGAACTTCAAGATTTCTGATTCACTGACATTTGGACAAATTAGACCAATGTCGGCCACAATACACAAATTGATGTGATGATTTGGGATGTTTTTAATCCATATCCAAGTTGATCCGTTAAGGTCACAGACTGTGTGCTTTCAGAACCACCAACGTGAAGTGACTCATAACAGTCACTTGAGCAATATGCAGACGCATCGTTTTGAGGGGATTTCCACTGTCGCTGGATGATACAAGAATTACGCCTGCCTGGCAGGCTGCCTGAATACATTTAGTACTTAAAATGCTGAAGATGAACCAATTTCCTCGTGGTCAGAGTCATCTGATCAGATAATCTAATCAGGCACAAATAGACTATGATGCTGCTGGTCTGCGTCATTATGTCACAGTAGTTCTGAAATCCAGATTTAGCCTTAGAGGTCACTGATCTACGATTACCTCAAGAGTCGAACCAAAGGATTCATTTTGGTGGGTTCACTTCAACCCCCCATCCTGAGTCAATGTCCCAAAACACATCAGCGAAGAAGAAAAAGACAAGCAAAAGAAAAATTAATAATGGTGTGCATTCCGCCAACAACATGGAAATGCTAACTCTCCTGTAAAAGCATAACAGTACCACAGCGTATAGGGCCATTATAAATAGAAAAAAAGGGTACATTTCTGCTAAAAAAACCTCAGAAATGTTGAGAATAATTTCAGATAAATAAATAAAAACTGATAAATAAAACATCTACAATTTTTTACTTTCTTGTAGAAAGTTTTGACTTCTGGAGCTTTGAAACTTCCTAGCTCTTTCTAGAAACTTTCTAGAAAGATTACTCACAAATTTTCAGATGTTTTTGGCAAAAATGTTGCCATTTTTCTTTCAATCTACAATGCCTCTAATACATCATTCTATAATCCTACGATCAGACAAATTTGAAAAATTCCACCAAAGTGGGTGGGGCCAATAGACACTGAGGGGCGTAGCCAAGTTTGGATGACCAGAGCCATAATTTGCTAGTGGTGATTGGTTCTTTTTCATCCAAGAAATACTACAGTTTTCATGGAATAGTGTATGCAACGTGGTTTGAAAGACATAGAATTTCACGTATTGTATTTTTGACCTTTTTGGGGTTCCGTAGAGAAGGAGCAGGAAAGTCAAAAGGGAATTAGCAACTGACTGTGAGATATAAATGTAAAACACCACTAATTATTGTTTGTTTGGATGAATATATGTGCTCACATCAGTTTCACTTCATGATCAGATTGGTGGGATACAGAAATGCAGTTTTTGAGCAAAACTGCATGAAAAGTCACGGTGTTAAAACATCCACATCACGTGACGCTTATGGTTCAACCCAAGTAGGGCAGCAGTACGCAAGAATTAAACAAGTCTACAAAAATAAATTTTTACAGAAACACACCGTTAAGAACCAATTCCAAACTTTATCTACAAAACAAGTTTATTTTTCTGGTTTAGTTATGTTTTAACAGAGTTTTGCATAAAAAATGTCTGCAAATTTTACCTGGAACAAGGAGGACCCAATTTTCCACTTGCTGCAGCTAATGGTGCCACAAGCCAGTGAATCTGTGAGTGTTTAATTTTTTCCCATGACTGCGTTGACAGCGCAGTGCATCATCAGGATATTAATCATAAATTCCCCGGGCTCTGTGGGTTGTGGGGTTGCGTCTCTGTGGAGTGGGTTTGCTTCAGACAGCTGTGTCTACATCACATCACATCACATCGCTATCTGGGGAGATTATTTGGTTTCTTTCTCAGGTTTATAAAAAACTCCACAAAATTTTTTCTTTATCACAAGTCATTTAGTTGGAAAGGTCAGAAAAAAGCTAAATTTGTCACCAGATTTAATAATAGAAACAAAAATTTGTTTTAAGAGTATTGGCTAAAAATATTCACACACCCCTGGCAGATTTAAAATTAAAAATATTTTCATTTAACTTCTGTGGGAAAAAAAATCAAATCTGTGTGGAACAGATCAGGCTTGAGACTCTAGCAAATAGCAAAGAGCAAATTTTTTTTATTTCTGTCGTTTGCAAATGGAGAACACAGCAACCACAGCACAACAGCTGTACCTACAATAAGCTCTGGAGCTGCAAGGTCTCCCAATATATAGGATTCTTTACGCAACGTGGTCACTCCTTTGGCTCAGAGTCAATTCCAGTTTAACAAGTTTTCTGCACAGTCATGGAGCCACAAGTTGGACAGCATGCAACCTCTTCCTTACTGGGAGGTCAGTTAATTGTTTAGTTGATAAACATCTTCTTGTTCAAAATATGGGCGTTTCCAAAAATCAGGATGCTAATGGAACAATTTTGCATACTAAAGAAATTGTCAGACCTTGTACGTACTGTCAGCTTGTGACATTCAATGGAGAAATTTGTTAGTCCTTGGGGCTTATTCCATCTTCCTGTTTACTGTTTATCTGTTAACAAACTTTGGCGCCTTGCTTTGGTATTTGTGGTGAGACATTAGCCCACTCATTAGTCTGCTGCAACTGCTGCAGAGAGAGGAAACCTATCTGACTGGTTCTTGGCCTACATACTTTATCAGACTGAATACTAATGTTAAATGACTAAAATAATTAAATAAAATTGTTAAAAGAAATAATAACACAATTTTCACTTCACACTTCTTTTCTGATAGGAAGGAAAGGCAATAATAGAACATCATAAAAGGAGGGTTAATTAAAATAAAAATTATTTTTTTGATCAAATTTTAATAAAAATGGTTGTTGGCTCTTTATTGGCATTACACCAATCACACCATTATTATAAGTTTTCTGCATGTCTCTTCTGGTATAATTACTATTTATCTTTAGTGATCAACTCCATTTGCCATCACCCTAATTTTTAGCTCCCACAAATAATAAATAATACTTGTAACGATTACTTTAACACAAACTTAATGCAGAAAGACTCCATGCAGGGATTCAAACCCAGGACTTTCTTTCTGTAAAGCAACAATGCTACGAACTGCGCTAACAATATACTCCAAGCACCGTAACTTCAGATTAGGGCTACAGCTAAAAATTATTTTTGTTATCAAGTAACAAAAATAATTATTGCAGTATTTTGATCAAAAATACTGCAATCTTTAAACCCACCCCCATTTTGATCATGTTAAACCAAAGTTTGAACAACTTAAGACTTAACAGAAAAACAAAAACAAAATCTGCATGGTGTAAAACCCAAGGTAATTCTTACAATTAATCAGATGAGAAGATTTGCATATTTTTAGATTTTCATTTAAGCATTTAACCAATATTTCCTATAATATTATAAATACAATGAAAGATGCAAACAGGGAATCAAATTCCTTTCACAAATAAGAAAATAAACATTTACATATTATAATATAGCATTGCTTAAGTGCTTGATCATTTGCAGCAAAGAATGTATTTCCACAATTTTCACTTCACATTTCTTTTCTGATAGGACGGAAAGGCAATAATAGAACATGACTCAACTTTTCACATAAACATAAATATGTGAAAAGTTGAGTCATTTCTGCTTGGCTTAACATCAGGAATAACCTGATAACTCTTTTTTTAATTAATTTGTTAATAATTAAATGGCCAAAGGTAATTTTTCTTTTTCTGAATTTGAAGCAGTTGAAGCAAAAACTTGAGATGTTTTGAGAAAAACATATTTACCGACAAAGTTCTTTTTTAATTTTAATTGTGAAATGCATATATTTTTGTACAGCTCTGACTTGTTCTTTCAACAAATGGCCTTTTTTGAATCTTAATACTTTCAAATTCAAAACCACTTTATTGATCCCAAAGGGAAATTGAATATTATAATCCACTAATTCAGAACTTTTAAAGAGTTACTGTAAATGGTGATGGCTGTTAGCAGGAAATATCTCTGGTAGCAGTCTGTATTACAGTAACTCTGAAGACGCCTCTGACTAAAGATATTCTGTTTTAGTTAACAATGAATCAGTTACTAAATTAGTTGACGATTATTTCTATAAAATCAAGGTGAAACTTCTAAAGATAACCTGGTTTAGTCTTTAATTTATGTCAGGAGACTGTAGCTAACTGACTTTGTTTGTATTCAGGTCTCTGACGTTTCTTTGCGTCCTGACCGTGTTGGGTTCAGGCTGCGGCGGCTATAACATGGCCATGGCAGCTCTGAGTCCCTGTCCTTTGCTGCGTGGGTCTGCTCTGGGAGAGGCGATCATTGTGAGTGAAATCACTGAGTCATTATTCATCAGTTTTTATCAGAAAGGTGATAAAGCACAGCTGATGATGAAACGCGGTTCAATTGTGTCACTATGATAAGTCTGAGATAAGCAGGTGATAAGCAGGTGAGCTCTCACTCCTCTTTTATCCCCACCAGGTCCTCTCTTGGCTCTTGTTCACTGGGACGCTGTCTTACGTTAAAGTGATGGTAGGAGTCATCCTGAGAGATCGCAGCCACAGCGCCCTCGTGTGGTGTGGAGCTGCAGCACAGATGGGTTCGCTGGTCGGCTCCGTCACCATGTTCCCGCTGGTTAACGTTTACCGGCTCTTCATGTCGGGAGATTTCTGCAACACTGAGTGTCCGTTATGACAGACAGCCTGAAAGTCGCAAGACTCTCAACTACAGAAACAGATCTGCGTTTCAGTATTTAATTACTTTATAGCAGCGTAATACCAAAATGTTTGACAGTGTTAGGGCCAGGCTAAGAAAAAATTAAAATAAAAGATAACACTTTATTTGAAGGTGTGTACACATGACAGCGTCATGTCAGTTTTGTGTACACCAATTCAAATAAAGTATTACAGAATAAAAACAATAAAATTACAAAAACATGGCATGAAATTACAAGAATGTTAGAATGAATGTGTGAGAAGAAAGTAAAAAAAAAAAAAAGCAAGTAAAGTTGTGGTAGTAATATGAGACTAAAGTCACAGAATCACATGAATAAAGTCAGAATACTACAAGAAAAAAGTCAAAATAATATGTAGATAAAGTTGTAAATGGTCATAATATTTTGAGAATAAAGTCATAAAATTACCATCAATAAGGTTGTATTAAACAGCATCAAGTTATTATAATGTCTTATTCAGTATACGCCTTTTTGTAAAATCAATTATCAAAGTATAATTTCACAAAACACCATAGCGGTAAGACAGCTTTTATGTGTCGGATTTATAATTTCATTCTAACAATAATAATGTCACTTTTTTCTTGTATTATTTTTACGTCTTTCTCATAATTTTAATTTATTATCTAGTCTTAAACTTGGCTCTATTCTCTAAAACTCCATGACTTCTTGTGCAACAATTATACATTATTTTATTATTACTTTTAAACACACAGCCTTCAGTAGCTGTCAATCTGAAACTTAAGAACCGTCTGCCATCAGTTCACAGGACTAAAATCATGATTAATGCTGATAATTTTCACTCTGCTAAGTTTGTATAGATGTTTACCATTATGCAGAGAAAATCTATAACCTTTAAAGTGAATATCTATTGAATGGAAGAATCCTGCATTGTACTTTTCTGACCAGCAGATGTCACAAACGCACTTTTAAAACGTGAATACATTCATCAGTGAAAAGCATCGATTCCTGTTTAACTCCCACCTGTAACCTCAACATTTTAATGCACTTTGAAACTTAATAACTTAAATTATTCTTCTTTACGTCTAAATCAACATTTCAGGTGAAATCATATTTTTGGGGATTTTTGCTCCTAATTTTGCTTTTAATCTCAATCTTCATTCAGTGTGTTGTAGCCAGATTAGTAAAGTTTCTTCAAGGTTGAATATAATCAATTTAGGACCTTTTATGGACTTTTAATCCTAGTTATAAGTCATGAGCTGCAAAAAAGATAAAAAATATGTTTAATTTAATACCTCATATAAAATGCAGCTTTGTTAATTTAAAATGTTTTTCAGCTCTGTGAAAGTGCTTATGGAAGATATTAATAATAATATAATAGTTTCAGTAACTTAGTACAGTGTAAAAAAGATAAATGAGAACAATGAGTGAATAAACACACATATTTTGGATATATTTAAATATAATTTAGGAACAATTACAGATGATCTGACCTGATTTAAGATTAAATGAAATAAAGGTTGTGTTTAGACTGTGCAGAAACCCAGTTAATCATAAACACTAAATATTCAATTACATTAAAAGTCAAAGGTACTTTATTAACCCTAAAGTAAAAATTAATATTATTGTAATTTTGTTTTTCAAATATTTCAGAAAAGCTTTGGAAACTCCAAATAAACATGTGTCCACTGTACAGTGATGCTAACTGCATTAAATTAAAATATATTACTTTAATGTCTAAAACATCTGTTGTAATTTTGTGGTTGTTACAAAATAAAAATAAAACTTGTTTTACAGCAAAGCCTGTCTTTCTGACCTCTGCTTCTAACATTAAATAATCAGGCTGCAAAGATACAATATTGTATCAGATTAAAAGCTGTCCACCAAATTATGTTCAATGCATCTCTAGATCTAGTTGGTTGTTTTAATCTAATCCAGGGTGATAAACGTTTAGCCACATGGGACAAAATCAAGAAGTCAAAATGGGTAAAAAACTGTAACTTTCAGTCAGTTTTTGTTTAATTTTCTCAATAATAAACTAACCATGCAATATTTTAACAAAACTAAGTGGCTTTTTGTAGGAAAGCAAAACTTCTGCATGTTTGTCTCATTAAAAGACAGACATTCAATCTGCAAAAGGTTTGGGACTAAATTGGAACAAAATGTACAGAACCTGATCTATTCTCAGCAAAAGAAAAGGATTATAGTCACTCTTTCTCTGATGCCCAAGCCACACCTTGGACATCCCCGATCTAATCTATGAAGAAGAAGAAACAGAAGAAGAAGAAGAAGAAATAGTCTCCAATATATGACTGCAGCATGTTGCTGACAAACTGTTGTCAGAAACTATATCGCTGACAAACTATTTAAAAAAAGAAAAAAAAATCAACTCCTGCTACTGTATATTTCATAAATGATTTTGCATACTGCAAGTTGGGCTAAAATTGTTTTCCTTCAACTTTACTACTTAAATGTTAGACGACATGCAGCAGAGACAACAAACAATCCCAGTAGAGTAAAATACTAAGTAATCAGGAATTGGATGACCCATTCCATGAAATATCTGAAAGACGGCGCCGCGAGCGTTTTGAGGAGAACCAGGAGGACCAGAGGGCGGTTTCCCCTCAGCAGCTGTTCTCCATCGTGACCCTTCAGACGGAGAGCGAGAGGTTCCCTGGCCGAGGTCTGGTGGGGGGTGAGGAGTCTAATTACTGACGCTCAGCGGGGGCCGATGGATGCTGCTCCTGCCGGCGGTCACTTGGGAGCTTTTTTGACCCCAACACGAAGTAAAAACAAAAAGATAAGGAAGGCCACAATTAGCCCTACGCAGCCTGCGGGGCTCGGGATCAGTGGAGGAGAAGCACAGATGGGACTTTCTCACTTGGATTTGCTGAATCCACATTGCAGCGTGTATAAACCGAGCAGAAATCACTGCACACGACTGCCGATGCGAGTTCGCAGGATGGGGGTGTACAAAATCTTAAAGGCTTGTTGCCCTGTATATCTTCATGGGCAACAAAACATGTTCATTATCTTTTTTTTTTTTTTTGCAAAAAGTCATTCTTAGATGATAAGATTTCAGAATAAGGTATTTTAGGGTCTCTTGTCACGCCACCCAACTCAGGGTTTACACTCACACATGAAAACGGCTGCAAACACATGCACAAATATACAACTGTTGAAAAGCAGAAGTAGAGCCTCCTGCAAAAAATGCAGCAAGTGGTTTCTGGATGCTAAATCAACAACAAAACACTTGTCTTTTCCAGCAGCGGACACGGCGGCAAAACCAGTTGACCAAACATGCTGGAACTCCATTTGGGTTGCTAGGTAACAGGACTGAGCTCTGCTGGGGTTGCCAGGTAATGGCACAATGCCTATCAAATGGGATGTTTTTAAAACTGCTCATGTACCAGACATCAAAAATCATTCACTTATTTCCTGGGTGCATTTGAGTTTGTGGAAGAAAACGGACAAATGAAAATGTGTGTCAATTTTGCAGAAAAGATCCCCTTCAAAAAAGTAAAAAGTAAAAATTAGATTGTGTTAGCATAAGGTTGAAGCAGGGGCAGCAAAGAAGAGATAACCATCTACTGTGTCTATGTCACATTTTGTCGCAATGCAACCACAAACTTGAGTTTATTTAATTTTTTTAACTCGGTCAACTTGGTCCTGATTTTTCTCTCTGCAGATTTCTGTTCATCATAATTTTTTGGGTTGAGTTGGTGCTTGTTTGGACAATTATTCCCTCTGGTTTGTAGTGCTGTGCAGCTGCAACGATTGTTGCTTTAGCTTCTTTGCTTTCAACAGTTGTATCAACACGTAACCATGGCAACAAGGTAGGGGTGTACCATATGAGAAAAGAAACTAACAATCGAGTTTCTTCTAAATATTCTACCGATGAATTGAGCAGCACCGCTGATCTGCCGTCTTGCTGACAATTCACCTGAACTGACACATTTTTCTTTTTTCTGTCTTGATAATTATTCTTATTGTTACAGCTGCACAGCACCAGAAAATCTAGAGATGACGACAATATTAGTTTGCCATGATTCAACTCAAACCGATTTGCAGTTTCGGTCTGAAAATGAGAGCATAGAATGATCAGCTTCAGTGTTTGTCAGACCTGCTCCTCTTCAGTGAACATGACCTTGGATGCTCGCATGCAATCAAAGGGGTTTTCTTTACGCTTGATTAGCTAAACTCCTTGATTGGCTCTGGGCTCTTGTGTGTGGGGAAATAACAAAGCAGCAAAAGAAAAGTGTATCATTTCCCTTGGAGTGTCAGATGGTCCCATCGCTGCTCCAGCTGGTCAGGAGGGGCCGTGGCCACCTGGACGCTGCGTCCCGGTCCTGTGAGATCCTGCAGTCTCCTCTGCCATGTGAAAACTCCACTTACTACGCCACTGAGAAGTCCATCTGCTCAGGTCGACACCTCCCAAAGAGTCCCCCCGGCCCTCGACACAAACACAGCTCCCCCACAGCCCTCCGCTCGCCGTCCTTCCCTCCCGCCAGCCACAGAGCCTCTCAGCTAAATGAGCAGCATGTCGAATGGAAGCAGGATTTACCCTTCCTTCAACTGGGTAAGGGAACAAATTTGCAGCCGCGTGATGCACTGGATGGAGGAACCCACCTGCACTCCTGCAGCATGGCTGCTGAATCGACAGATGTGTCACCGGTGCGTGACTTTGCACGACTGCAGGGTTCTGCTTTGAAGCACAGCTGCAAAGAGAGGGCGGATATTTGTTGTAACTCTCAAACAGAGCTCCACAGTGTTTCCAATCATAATCAGTGCGGCAATTTCAATGTCTGCAATACTGTAACTGCAAAAGATCGACGGTAGGTCTGTAACTAATGATTATTTAATTTATTAACCGATTATTCTGATTGAACAAAGATCTGCAAATTCTGCAAAATTTTTGTTTATCCACCTATATTTTTTTAAAAATATATCATATTAAAATATATATTGAACGATGCAAATGAACAAATAATTAAATGTTTTTTATAGGAAAATATGTATCTTATTTCCTAAAATGCAATAACAAAGCATTCCTTTACTGAGTCACTTGGACATTTCTGGATTGAATAATTTTAAAAACCACAGTTTTGTCATCTTAAATTCAAATTTTATATATATTTCTACAGATATAGTGTAGTTATAGGAGGAGAAATGGCTCTTGATTTTTTACAAATGACAGAAGAGAAATCCTACAACCGGTACAATCTGACGCTGTTCCATTTTTGCTCACATTTTGTGAAGAAGGAAGTTGTGCTCATGTCTTCTTCAGAGGTTTTTGTGTCGTTTCCTTTGGTGGTTCATAGAACAGTGCCTCCACAGAGGAGAACAGGTTTTGAATTAGTTTCGATCATCTGACAGTGCAGTGTGAAAGCGAACAGCACCAACTGAAAATGCAATAAATGTCGCAATTTTGGTCGTCAATCAAACCGAGTCTACAGGACTATAAGTTATGAAAACACAGAGATGAGCACAAATTCCTTCTTCACAAATTGTAAACAAAAATGGAGTAGCGTTCGATCTTTTGACAAAAAAAATCACAAGACATTTTTTCTGTTAGTGCTAGATGCGAGTTTGTTATAGTCGTATTTACCCAGAATGCCTTGCTCTGTAGTTCACTTCTTGTTTTTGGAGCAATCTTTGGTCTGCTTGGTGTTCACATACACATATGAATTGAAAAGAAACAGAGTCTTTAAGCGTACCAGAGTTTTTTTGGGTTTTTTTCAATTAACTTTGCATTAGAGTTTGATTGCACATTGAGACATCTCCAAATGAACCAGATGCTGTGAAAGCACCTTTAAGCTTTAGCATTTTGGTTACTAAGGTACAATGTGATGATAAAGAAAATAGGAAAACTGAGGAAAAAAAAACATATCATCATTGCAAAATTCACCAATATTGTCACAGTTTCATGTTTCCTTGTAATGGATGTCTTGCGGCTGAAGCGCTACGGAAGTAAGGAAATGTGTTTGGTTGTGCCGCAGGCCGGCAGATTCTGGCTGCTGATGGGCAGGTGAACAGCTTGTGGGTAAACCAATTGCTGATGCATGCAGACAGGCTCGGCTCAGACAGCATCTCAACGCGTCTCTCCCATCAATTTCCACACACACGTTAATAAACGTCGTCCATTTATTTGAAATTAGATGTGACAGCCCCATGTCATTTCACTACGGCGTCTCGGAGCAGACAGTGATGCGCACGGGCCCTCGCCTCGTTTTCTATCAGCAGGTATTGATGTTGCTTTAATGAAGTGCCTAGCACTCCACCCTAGGAAGAGACAAGTCTGTCAGCATATGTAAATGCTTCCTGCCTGTCATTGTTGTGGTGGGTTCAGCATGGGTCAGCGTAGATTCCCCCTCTGGGAACCCTTTGTTCTGGGGCCCGACTGTGCCACATGAGGGGACCAATTACAGAGCTGCGCAGCAGGACGGGGGTGCAAACTTGTTACCCTGCTGCAGTGAGCTAATTATTACCTCAGCACTGTGGGTAGTACAGAGCTAGTCCATCAGGGTGGGGAGTAAAATCAAGGTTACTGCATGAACACTTATTATGCTTCCTTGAACGGGTTAAGAGTGGTTTATGGTCAATAGAAAACATGTTCACCACAGCTTTTGCTCAAGATCATTCTTAGATATTGAGACTTTACTCTGCTCAGTTCTGCTTATTTTGAGCTCCTTTCAAAATGACCTGCTTTAGGGCATCTTGTTACTTTGAATCCAAATAAAATGCTGCTGGCCACTCCCCCAACACAACGTTTACACTCTCATGTGAATATTCCACAGAGCTTGTCTTGTGACATGGAAGAATAATATAAATAAGTAACTTGATATCTTGTTGGTATGACTTAATTATTACAAGTCGTGGCCTACAATGCACATGTTTGAAAAGCTGCAGAAGCAACAAGAATGAAGGAAGTTGTTTCTGAATGGTAAATCAACAACAAAACACTCGTCTCTGCCAGCAGCAATTGTAAAGCACACATTGCGGTAAAACCAGCTGACCAATCCTGATTCACTTCCGCTTGGGTTGCTAGGTAACGGCGCAATGTGCCATAACAATCAGCAGGTTTTTGAAACTGATCATTTTCTAGATACCAAAAACGTTAACTTATTGCCAAAAAATGGATGGGTGTTTTTTGTTTAAGCCAATGAGGTGTTTTAGATGCAAATGGAAATCAAAAAATTTGCAAAATATGAATTGTGAGTAATATGTCGCTTTTAAAAAAGTGGTTTACAGTGTTAACACATTTCTGTGAATATATTTCAATGATCAAAGTTCAGGAAAAATATAATTCTTATTTTTCAGTCATAAATAGCAGCAGAGCTTCTTAAGTCCCAGCAGAGCTCTCCGTGTTTTGCCAGAGCAAGCACAATCCACATGCAGCAGGCTGCCAACCACATCACCTTGATTTGGTGTCAGGAAGTGATTTATGAAAACGCTTCCTGCTCCCTCCGTCTCGACATAGACCTCAGTGGACCCTGGGTGTTGACACAAAGCCCAGATGGCCGAGCAAACATATTCGCAGCTCAGCGGGCTTTGGTTTCTAGCTGCTGGAGAGACTCTGGCTCTCTGCTGATGATCGAGGGGCTCAAAAGATTTGCAAGAATTCTACAAGAGATAAAATTTCAGCTGGCGCTCCGATCGATGCTTTGTTCAGGGCTGCAACACGTCTTTCATGTCAAAATCTCACACTGTTCCGCAGACAGACTCCCATCGCTTGGTGGCAAAAAAATACATCTATGGGAGACAGTTCTGATCATCCATCTAGACTGGATGGATGGATGGATGGATGGATGGATGGATGGATGGATGGATGGATGGATGGATGGATGGATGGATGGACTGATGGATGGGATGATGATGGATGGATGGATGGATGGATGGATGGATGGATGGATGGATGGATGGATGGATGGATGGATGGGAATCTGATGATGGTGAAAACCTGACAGGGATTACAACCCAGACATCTTGTCGACTCCTGTGTTTCTCTGAAGATGCATTTTAATAATTTGCTAAAAAGTAAAAGCGATTTGTTGTTGGATAAATGAGCCGCCATATCTGGAGAGCATCAGAGTGTTTTTGTGGCAAAAATCTTTGAACCAAACATAAAAAAACAAACACTGTGATGTGTGTAGATGGCCGTCTTATCTCGCCATTAGCTCCCTCCCCTTTTATAACCCATTCATCTCCTTCCCCCCACCCAGCGGCCAGAGCCGCCCAGCTGCTAGGGGCTACCAGTCTCCCTTGGTGTGTGGGACCAGTCAAGTGGAAAATGGCTGCCACTGAGAGAGCCCACTTTAGAGAGCCATCATCCTTTGAAGGGGCATGATGGCCTTTGACAGCCGCAGTGTTAACACAGAACCCACACGAACATAGCGCTGCTATTATCGCGTTTACTAAAGCAAAAGTAGAGGAGAGCAGATCAAGGGGAGACGCTAATGGTCGATGTTTGAATCCAGAGATGGAGGGGAGATGGTCCGGGCCCCAGCGGTGGGGAAACATGACATTGGATCACTCACAGACAGGTGGAGATTGTGTTTCAGCGCGTCACCCGAGCCTTTACCGAACAGGTCGTTCACTGTGTGTGTGTGTGTGTGTGTGTGTGTGTGTGTGTGTGTGTGTGTGTGTAGCAATGTCTGCCCATGTGTTCTCCGTTAGCAGCAATGTGATTACTATTGAACCATCATCCAGTTTCAGACCGACACCGCTGCTACAAACACTCCAGCAGAAACAGGTTTCATGATTTGTTTGACAAAAATAGAGTGAAAATCTCACTTCCTGAAAACTGAGTTAGCATCAGAGATCCAATTCATGCGGCTTTACGCATCAATCAAACAGGAGTCAACAATAAATCAACCAATATCTGACTAAACTGAATTTCATTCATTATTCATTCATACGTCTGGCCATCTGCAGCTTTCCAAGGGTTACCTTCAGCCCCAGACTGGGCAATCTCTCGGCCTTTAATTGAAACAACTAATTGAAGTTGTTGAAACATTCCCTATAAATGGGACACCACTTTAAAGAAACCAATAGTTAATTAGTTGCTATTGACTCCTTTTATGTAAACTGATGACTTTTTGCAAAAACATCTATCTGTCTGTAGCTATAATCTCCATTATGAAGGTTATTGGCATCTTTTAAAGTTGTTTTCTGCTGGCATCCTGCTCTTTATCTAATTTGTTTGAAAACAAACTCTTTATATCCAAGAAAACAACAAAAGTCAAAGGAAATAGATTATGTTTGAGCTAAAGTTTTAATCTAAAATGATTTTATACAACGCCTCAACCAATCAGAGAACAGCAGTCTACTATGATTAAATTACTTTAACTATAATAGGTGTATTACTGCAGCACATAATTTATTACATTAGTGTAATTTTGCTATTTTGACTCACAATGTAAACATGCAAACATTGCTTTTCATGCAAAACAGAACTGAGAACTGTTTTGTTTTAATTTGGTTAACAACTCAACAAGTTTTATAAGAACGGCCACAAACATAAATGTATTTCATTAGTATTTGATATAATAAGCCAACAAAAAGTAGTGCATAATTTTCAAGTTAATACATTTTAGTATTTTGCTTTACAACTAAATGTTTATTGTGCAATGCAGCTGTAGTAACCAGTTACATTGTTTTGGGAAAGAAAATACTTTTCGTAGTTTTTTTTGTTTGTTTTTTTTACACCTAAATTTTAAGTTTTACTTAATTATAAAGAATTACTAATGTTACTTCAGTAAAATTTCTGGACACTCCACCCACAGTAGCTTTACTGAAATAAATGACAAGCTTTCTTTATTCTTGCATGAGATGCAGATTCACCCACAGCTGGTGTTAAAGACTTATGGGTTGTAAACAAGCTTTGTTTTTCTGTTATTTCCTATCTGCTCAGGCTTTTGTACCATTTGTGGCTCTTATTCAATATTTATATTCTCCCACTAGCTCAAGTTATAACAGGAAATAGTATTAGCTACCATGACTATGCAGATGATACTCAGCTCTTCATTATGATGTCACCAGGTGACTCTGAACCCATCCAATCACTGAACGAATGCTCAACATTTATTAAATGTGTGGATGAGCCAAAACTTTCTCCAGCTGAACAAAAATAAAACTGGAGTCATTATTTTTGGACCTAAAAAGGAACGATCTAGGGTCAATGCAAAGCTTCAGTTATTACAACTAAAAATTAGCAATCAGGCCCGAAACCTGGTGGACTGGACTTGAACTTTGTGAGCCACATAAAGACAGTTACAAAGTCGGCCTTCTATCACCTGAAGAACATTTCCAGGATTAGAGGACTAATGTCTCAGCCAGATCTAGAGAAACTCATCCATGCGTTTATCTTCAGTCACATTGATTATTGGAATAGCGTCTTCACAGGCCTGTCCAACAAATCAATCAAACAGCTGATGCTGATCCAGAAGCTGCTGCTCGCGTTCTCACTAAAACCAGGAAGATAGAGACATAACACCAGTTTTAAAGTCCCTCCACTGGCTCCCTGTAGCTCAAAGAATAGACATTAAAATACTGTTGCTAGTTTATAAATCACTGAACGGTTTAGCACCACAATACATTAAAGATCCAAATGAGGAGAAGCAGCATTCAGCAGCTGTAGTGACCAGAAATCTGGAACAAACTTCCAGAAAACTGCAAAACAGCTGAAACACTGACTTCCTTTAAATCTTGACTGTTTAGAATTGTATTTGAAATGTAATCAATTAAAAATGTAATGATGGCACAATGTATTGGTTATTCTATGTTGCATGACTTTGTGTTTTTGTGTTTATGATGTAAAGCACTTTGAAATGCCTTGCTGCTGAAATGTGCTATGCAAATAAAATTTGATTTGATTGATTGATTTGGAAATAAAATCAATGAAGCTATAAATTTTCCTCCCACTTTAATAAATATCTACTATTTTGTGTTGGTTTATTATGAAATCCCACAAAAACTTTATGATTTTTGTTTGAATAATTATGCAAGGCACTGCAACAAGCTGTATGCTAAGTTATGTAAATTGTATTAATAATAAAAGAGGAAGGAAGACTTGGGATAAATCAAACTTTTGGTTTTGAAGATTTAATTTCTGGAAAATGTGAATGTTTTTCCACCAATGCACTCTTTGTGTTTCAGTCATAAACTCACAGAAAGGATGATTAAAATTAAAGCCACTTTTAAAAAAATATATTGTGTCGGTCTTAACTTCTTATTGTTTGAAATTGGATCTAATATGAAAAAATTTAAAATTTTATTTCTAAGCCATGTCGTCCAGGCCTAACAGCATATATTAGGAAAGCCTGATTTAAAGAAGCAACATACTTTAGTACCCAATGTCACCATTTGGATGTGAAACGCCACAGAACACAAAGAGATATATTTTTTATTATGAAGGTGTTTGGAATCTCCATGAGTTAAGGTGACAATAATAACAAATGCTAAGCTGTTTTTAGCATCTGTTTTTAACTCTTTTATTTTTGACCGCTGCATTTTAAAAGCAAACGGCAGTGAAATGTAACGTCTCAAGAACCTTAGCAATGAGAGTCAACCAAAAGCTCCTGCAAAAAGGGCAATGTTATTTATTGGCTGCGGCGTGCTCAGATCAGCCTTTGACCTCATGCAACGTGTGCAGCCCAAAATTTATGGACGCAAAAGATAAAAGCAGAAGCCATTTCATCTGGCTCTGCTCTCGCTGGCCCGTCTCCAACACCGGCTGACTGCTGATGTATGGCTGCAGCTCGGCCGGGCCGCTCACGCAGCTCCGGCACATGTTGCTGCAGGACACACGTGGAGCTTCGAGTGAGCAACAGTGATTTTAACTGCAACAAATGGTCGAGGTATGTCATTATCCAGATTTTTGGTGAGGGGATCATTACCTGCCACAGATGCCACTGTTGTTTTGCGTCCCCATTTGTCCTGAGGCTAGCAAACCACCATACTTGAAAAGAGCAGAAGGTGCCTTTGTGTAGACGCACACCTGATCTTAGAAATCAACCGGCAGCTCTGCCCTAATGCAAGTCTCCCTGGCTCTGCCTCAAGGCCGTCCATCTGTTGCTGTGACGAAGCGCGGCTGCAGGTGAATGTGTGTGGCTGCAAGTCGGCATCCATCTGGGTGTGCCCTGAGTGGAGGACTGCAGATAACATGTCGATTTTATTCCTGTTGACACCGTTTGATCATGATGACCATATTTAAAGCGAAAAGAGGCAATAAATGATGACAAATTAGCTAGAAAATAAGAAAAGCAACATGACAAGCTGGAAAAAACACTCATATCTGTTTAATCGGATTAATCTTTCATGAATTGATTATTGAAATCATTAAGTAATTTATTACTGGAGGATACAACTTCAAAAAAGCCAATTGTTGAAAGAATAACAAATTCCAAGCTGGATAAAAATTTGTCATTTAAAATAATAATAAAAAATCTTTATCTATTAATATATTCTACCCAAAAATCCTGCATAGTTTTCCCACAGAATCTGGTTCAAATTCTGTGGGAATTAAATCTATTAAACACATTTTTACACAATTATTAATTACTTATTTGAAAAGTAATGAACAGATTAACCCTACACTTTATGATGATTGATGTTAAGTCAAAAAGAAAGTGTTAAGCTTTTCACATGTTGATGTCAGAAGTATTTTTAGCTGCTGATGCATCATTTGCTGCAAATGGTCATGCTATGTTATTACATTTTAGGTAATAAAATGTTTATTTTCTTATTTGAAAATGGAATTAAATTATTTGTTTATTTTGAATCTTTGAATATATATCTAATATTGCGTAAAAAGCCTTACATGCAGCAATTTTTTTTGTTTCATTAATCATTAGAATAATCAATAACTCTAATAACTGTTGTTTGCAGCCCTAGTTGACAGCTTTATGGAGACCGTATTCAAAGCCAAAGGAAGCAACAAACTGAGACATATGTTGGATGTAGAATTAGTCAGAAAATTAAAGCACTCAGATCTGTGCAGTCTGACCTAAATGACATATGACTCATTAATATTCAGTAAAAACGCATGTAAACAAACACAAAGTGTCAACCGCATGGAAAAATACATGGAAATAAATAGCTTGACATTTTCTTTTAACCGTTTATTTTTCTGTGTTGTATTTGTTGTCGTCTTTTGGCCAGGACTTCCTTGAACAAGGTTTTATTTTATTTAATCTCCATTTAGTATTTTTGAATTTGAGTCTCAATGAAATTTTTTTTCATCTTGGTAAAATAAAGGTTAAATAAAACTTAAGTAAAAAAAACTAATCTGCTCGTCCATGAAGTGATCTAAATAAAGTTTGTATTGATGTAGGTTGAAAAAACACAACATTAACATACGTAACACTTTGTTTTCTTCTGTAAATTTCAATGTGAATGTTAAATGGATCTGATGGTTTAACTGGAAAAGAACTATAAAGTGTAATTTCCTGCCGGTGTCTGTATTTTAACCAGGATTCTCAATTGAGCGCCATAATTCATGCAAGTCTGGTTCTGAAATGTCTGCTTTTGACTGTGGTTGTATGTAGAGTTTTTTTGAGAAGTGCATGTCTGATGATGTACTGGAAAGTGCTTTTAGTTTTCAACAAGACCTGAAAAGTGTATTAAATAAATGATTCACCATTTGCTGTTTTTTCATAATGATTCAGGTAGTTCAAAGAAAAAAACTACACGACTTCCTCAGGAGTCAAAGGCATATATTTTAGATTAATAATTCCTGGAGAATTTTGCTCATTATTGAGTTAAAATAATGAGACTACATCACTGTGTTGGAGCTGATGATTTCATTCTTTATCTGTCCATTTGTTCTTGAAGCAATACATAAAATGATAATATAAATCACATGCTTTTAATTTTTATGCTCATCGTAAAATTTTGCTGTTTTCTGACTTGTTATATTTGACACATTTAAGAGAATTTGCTGGGATGCACAATAAATTTAACCAAAATAAACTTGCAAACAAATAAAGTACAAGCCAAGCATATTAAAGTTTAATAACATCACCAAAGTGAAACAAAAAGTCATGTTCAAAGTATACTTTACTTCCAGCCATATTTTTAATTTCAGGTTTTTATGTGAAGGGCGGAAACTTTTCCTGTAACCGACTGACTTTTATGGATCATAATGTAACCAGGCTTTGCATTACAGTAAGGAATATCTGTCTGCAAAAAGCCCCTAGGAACGTGATTTTTGATACCACTGACCTTGTGATTATTGAACCTCGCTGATTGATGTGCGATACATAACCCGCTGCAGGGGCGTTACGTATCGAATCTGTTATATTTGATGTACATAATAGATAAGAAACTGCTAAATAATTCATTGATAACCCAAAGTAGGCATGTGTTGCACAGCTGCTTTGCTCTGAGTTGTTTAAATTTGTGGTGTGTTAAACCACTTTGACATTTAGAGCTTGTATTTCCACATAATTGGTATCCGAGGACTTGTTATTAGTTTGGCTGCGTGGTGTTTTAAAGCATTAATGATACAGATTGCTCCGTTATGTTTAAACGGCTCCTCTTTAAGCAGATGAACATCAAAAACAGGTGTCTCCGCTCTCTGTAAGCTCCCACTTTAACATGATTTACTTCTTTGTGGGGATTCTGTGCTGTAGAGAATGTCATATGCTAAGTTAACCTCTGCATGGCTCGCTGGCTTGCCGCCATTTATGAAAGGACACCAACACAGACGCACTCTCTCCGATGATGACAACTGGCAAAGTCCCCAACCTTTAAAACAACTCGAGCTGCGGCTGCGGGATGAATCCGACGGTGTGAGTGCACTCAATAAATCTGCAAGGGTCTGATTCAGACTCCCACACATTGCCATTCAGTGTCCTTGAAACCAGCTAGCGCCTATATCTGTTCAAAAACACAAGATCCATCTGCTCTGCCACAAGTCAATGAGTCACTGAGAGCACTTTTATTTGCGTGGATGGCAGCTGAGATCCATGTCATAAATATATTGGGTAACATGCTCACAGATTATTTCAAACCGGTCTTGTGGGTTTGTCTTTCCGTTGCACGGCGTACTGCGAGGACAGCCAACAATCCCATTGAGAAATTAGCAGGGTCCCCTGTGCTTTCCTCTGCTTTAATAAATAATTCAGCTGTCAGGGTGAAAGCGGGGCGAGAAGACCTTGTCACTGGTGACTGACTCAGCATTCTGCAGCCTGAGGGTGACACTAAACCTGAGAAATGCATCCTCTGCCATTCATAACAGGTTGTGATGCGACATCATCAATGGATACAACGTCATCTTCCAAGTTCAGTTCAAGAAGCCTTAACCTGTCTGAGTCAACTTCAGCGTGTTTAGAGGTTTTTGTGTGATGCACCAAAGCAAAGTAGTGCATAGACTGACAAGGAAGTAAAATCATACAAAGTATTTAACATCCATTACAAACTCTGCATCGAGTGGCGAAAGTTCATGAAATGCGCCACAAAGCATCACCACATACTTTGAATGTAAACAAGATGTGCCTGGCGCTCAAAACACGCTTGGTGTGAATGCGCTATTAAGAGTTTAAAATCTTGGCCCATACTTCAAACTAAACATTTCTTGTTTGTTTTCCTTATTTCTTTCCATATTAATGAATTTATTGTCTTTGTGTTTTGTTAGATTAGTATTTCGATCTATTTACGGTTTATACCAGGTCCAAGTTTCCTTTCCACTTTCATTCTCTTAGCTCAATTTATCTTTAATCTCACCCTCAGCCAGGTCTCTGCAAAAAATCAATAACAATAAATATTGCAATACGAAATACTTCCGATAGTATGTTCAATAATTTCACTCAACTCTGATCTAGAACAGCACAGCATAGATTTCAATTGCAGCTAAACAAGGCTGGTGGAATCGACTAACTCTCACTAAATAGTTACCTATCAACAACCTGCCGAGTGCTAAGTAATTCTGTTATTTTAAAGATTAACTAAAAAAAACCCCCAACATATTATAGAAATACAGATTCAAGGACTTAAATACTTTTCCAAAATCATAAAACAACAACTATGAAACTAATACCTGCAGTCAGTAGAACTGTCTATTACAACAGGGTGAAGTACTTCTAATGCCAAGTAGCTTGTCAGGCAGAAAATAACATAATAAAAAACAAACCGTAGGTACTTCTCTGTACCTCATGAGTTTTTTTGTTTTTCTTTAATGTAGGATATTCAGAAATTTCACTCAATTAAGAGTAGCAATAAACATCTGAGTAGATGTAACTATTTACTACCCTTCTCCGCATATAAACTAAGTGAACTGAACTGACTGCAGTGTAAACCCGCTCAGTTCAGCATCAGGCTCAGTAAAACCACCTGCTCTCCTCGGGAATGTTTTGTTTTCCTTGGACTTGTTTTGTAACCCAGTCATAACCTGCTGCCATAACGCCTGTCTGCTTGTAACCTCTCTGTAAACAGCCATCTTGTTGCTCGTCTCTCAGGCTGTTCTCATCCGATGTCCAAATGCAGAACAGTTTACTGGTCCAGTTTCTGCTCAGAGAGCCTTGGTTTATTAATGTACACTCTGGATCCAAATCATAAAGCTTTACGACCTGCAGACTGAAATATTTATCCTCCTAAATCATGTGAACATTGTAAAAGGTGCATAGACTATTCTCTTGTGCAGATTTGCATTACAATCTGTGTGACGTAGCTAATATTTCTCAACCTTAAACAGACCCTGCTGATATCTAGATCGGCTGATTGAGATAAGTGAGGCAGGACTTCTTTTATACTACCCCGTTTAAAGGAACAATTCTGGGATTTTTTCAGGCCGATTTCTGCTCAGAGGTTGTGTGTGACCTTTAAATGTCTTACTAGCAGCAGATAGCTGTTTGAGCATCCTCATATTGATGAAACAGATTAGTTTTCCAGCTAACAGATAGAGCGGGGCTGAGATAAAAACCACACTTCTGCTATCTTGAAACAACTCTAATCTCTGAAGTGTCATCGTAGTTCAAGTAAACACTATTTTACAAACGTTTACACAAGAAGTCTGCATCAGTTAATAAACTAGTGTTCACTTCAACCACCATTATAATTTTATGTTGCGCCACTTTTAAAAAAAGCAAACCCAAAAACCACTTTTAGTATATACTAAATGTTTTTTTTGTTCATTTGACTGGCAGCTAAAGTC